TAACCTTTCTCTTTTAGATCCAGTCTGCCCTTCCTAGTGCCTTCCCATCCCCATGCATCTTCTGAACTCTGATGTGCTCCTTACTGGATATATAATGAAGTAGAACTTGGAATTCCATACCCTACAATCACTCTTCTACTTGGCCTAATCAAGTTAAGTGCAATTTTTAAAAAAGCATATAATTTACATTATTATTTAATATTGCCTATTTTAAATTGTAAGATAAATTATTTTTCTGAAAGAAAATAACTAGCTTTTTAATAACTAGTTTTTGTAGTGTGAGTTAAAACAGAACTTTAAAATATTTTCTTGTTGTCAAGGAAGGGGAATGTAACATAAAAAAATAAAATGGCAATACAAAATTTTCATAAGTTTACTTGCCTAATTCTGCCTGTATTCAGAGTCTGAACCATTAAAACTTATGAGCTGTTTTAGAAGAAGTGTGCATTAGGGAGTGTTTCAACTGTACAGAGCTCAACGATAGTGATGATAAGGTTGAGTGCCTATGGGTAAGAATCAGGGGGAAGGCTAACAAGGTAGTAGGCATCCTGGTGGAAGTCTTTTACAGACAACCTAACTAGGATGAAGAGGCAGATGAAGTATTCTGAATGAGGCTGGCTGATGTTTCATGATCCCTAGCCCTTGTTCTTGTGAGATACTTCGCCTTGCCAGATGTCTGCCGGAAACTCAATAGAGCAGAGAGAAGGGAGTCTAGGAGGTTCCTGGACTGTGTAGATGGTAACTTCCTGATATAGCTGGTAAGTGAGCCTGTCAGGGCTGATGCCACATTAGACCTGCTGTTTACAAACAGAGAGAGAAGAAACCTGCTGCTGGGAGATGGGGGGGGCTGGAGGTCATCTTGAGCATAGTGATGACAAAATGATAAGAGTTTCCAATTCTTGGTGAAATTAAGGAAGGGGGTCAACAGAACATCTACTTTGGACTTCCAGCAGGTGGAAACAGTCATTAATAACAAAGGGGTCCAGGAAAGCTGGACATACTTTAAGAAGGAAATCTTAAAGGCGCAGAAGCCCATCCCTATGTGCCAAAAGATGAGCCATTGGGGAAAAAAACTGGCCTGTCTGAACAAGGAATTTTTGCAGGAACTCAAGGAAAAAAAAGAGTTTATGACCCTTGGAAGAAGGGGCAGGAAGCTCAGAAAGAGTACAAGGATGTTGTTGGGTCATGTAGAGAGAAAATTAGAAAGGTGAAGGCTCAGCTAGAACTCAATCTGGCCACTGCTGAGAAAGATAATAAAAAGTGGTTTTTATAAATACATCAAAAACAAAAGGAGGGCCAAGGAAAATTTCTTAATTGGACATGGTGGGGAACATTGTAAGCAAGAATGAGAAAAAGGCTTAATGCCTTCTTTGCCTCAGTCTTTAACAGTCTGGTCTCAGTTATCCTTAGGGCAACTGGCCCCCTGAGCTGGTAGACAGGGACAGGGAACAGATTAGAATCCCTGTATAATTCAGGAGGAAGTCATTAGTGACCTGCTGAGCTATTTAGACACTCAAAAGTCTATGAGTTCAGGTGGGATTCATGAGATGGTACTGAGGGAGCTGGCAGAAGAGCTCACCAAACCACTCTGTCATTTATAATCAGTCCTGGCTAACTGGGGAGGTCCCAAATGACTGGAGGTAGGCAAATGTGATGCCCATCCTCAAGTAAGGTCAGAAGGAGGATCCAGGGAAGGAGGTCAGGCCTGTCAGCCTGACCTTGGTGCCTGGGAGGGTTATGGAACAGATTATCTTGAGTGCAATCACACAGCATGTACAGGATAACCAGGGGATCAGGCCCGGCCAACACAGGTTTAGGAAAAGCAGGTCCTGCTTGACCAGCCTTATCTCCTTTCACGACCAGGTGACCCTCCTAGTGGATGAGGGGATGGCTGCAGATGTAGTCTACCTGGATGTCAGTAAAACCTTTGAAACTGTCTCCCACAGCATTCTCCTGAAAAAGCTGGCAGCCCACAGCTTGGACAGTTCTTTGCTTGGTTGAAGAACTGGCTGGATGGCCAGGCCCTGAGAGTGGTGGTGAATGATGCTGCATCCAGTTGGTGGCCACTCACTAGTGGTGTTCCTCAAGGGTCAGTGTTGGGCCCAGTCCTGTTTAATATCTTCACTAATGATCTGGATGAGGCAATCGAGTGTACTCTCAGTAAGTTCATGGACAATACTAAGTTGGGTGGGAGTATAACAGGCTGGATTGATGGGCTGAGGCCAATTTTATGAGGTTCAATAAGGCAAAGTGCCAGGTCCTGCACTTGGATCACAACTCCATGCAGCTCTACAGCGTGGGGGAAGAGTGCTGGAAAGCTGCCCAGGAGAAAAGGATGTGGGAGTGCTGGTCGACAGCCATCTGAACATACACCAGCAGTGTGCCCAGGTGGCCAAGAAGGTCAATGGCATCCTGGCTCGTATCAGAAATAGTGTGGCCAGAAGGACCAGGGCAGTGATCACCTCCCTCTACTCAGCATTGGTGAGGCAGCACCTTGAGTTCTGTGTCCAGTTCTGGGCCCCACAATTCAAGGACATTGAGGTACTGGAGTGTGTCCAGAGAAGAGCAACAAAGCTGGTGAAGAGTTAAGAGCACTATGAGGAGTGGCTGAGGGAGCTGGGGGTGTTAAGCCTGGAGAAAAGGAGGCTCAGGGGGACCTTATCATTTTCTACAACTACAAAGGAGGTTATAGCAAGGTGGGGATTGGTCTCTTCTCCCAGTCAACTAGTGACAGGACAAGAGGACACAGCCTCAAGCTGCACCAGGGGAGATTCAGGTTGGTCTATGAAGAATTTCTTAATGGAAAGCACTGGAAATGGCTGCCCACGAAGGAGTCACCATTCCTGGGGGTGTTCAAGAAACAACTGGATGTGGAACTTAGTGCTACAGTCTAGTTGACAAGGTGGGGGTTGGTCAAAAATTTGACTTGATGATCTTGGAGGTCTTTTCCAACCTAAATGATTCTGTGATGTCAAAACAACTAGAAAATTTCGACATTGTCAATGCTAAAACAAAATTTTGATAACATTTTCACTTAAGCATGAAGAGTCAAAAGAAACACTGAACTCTTCTAAAAACATCTTAGCTATTAATTTCTTTCAGATATAGTGTCATATATTTCTGCAGAACCCTGCCCTTAAATAACTCACCTAATAAAGTGCCTTGTTACCTGACCTGATCACAGCCCCAAATTCTCAAATCTAAAATGAGTAGTGCTCAGCTCCATTCTCTTTGAAGAGCGCTTCACATGGAAACTTTACCCAAGAGAGTGAATTCATTCCAGTGACACTGACACTTAAACTCTACTGCTGCTCTAATGACTATTTTATTATTCTGTTGTAAAGCTCTCAAAGTAGAAAGATTGAGAAAGCCTGAAATACTGTGTTTCATCAGAGCACTGATCAAGGAGTTAAAAGTTTCAATGTCTTCATCAAGATCCAGATGATGGAAGATTTAACATGGTCCGCAGATCTAGAGATCAATATTGATTCCTCTGAGGAATATGTACAAACTACAAGGAAGAAAACAATGAACAAGCAATTGGATAAACTGAGTCAGAGAAAGTTCCAGGTAGACTAAAAATGTAAGCATCAGCAATGTTGCAAAGAGCATTCAGTGAATAAAACCCAACAGCATGTGCTGAACAGAACTCACACTGTGTGCAACTATCTGTCCTATGTACAAAATACCAAATGATCGCTATGGAAATAATGTGATGGAATCATACCTCAACAGTAATACAGGGTGGAACAACACACCAGTTACTACTTTAACTTCTAAGTGATCGAACGCATGGCCTGAAACACATCAGCAATCTGTTCTAGCAGCAGGTGTCCGTGCCCATGGCAAGTGGGTTGGAACTAGATGATCTTTAAGGTCCCTTTCAACCCAAACATTCTATGATTCTGTAAACTCTTACCGTAGCTCGCTCACTATAGAAAGATGTTGCATAAGTGGTAGATGCAGGCAGCCATGATAAGTGTGCTAAATATTACCCTTGAAAGCCTCTTTACAAATGCTTGAGTGAAATGAAAAGTTTGATCTTTTGCCATCAGTATCATGCTCCCACAAGATGCTGAGTGAGCTGAACTGGTGTGCTCCCGTTTTAAGAACTGGGGGGGTGTGCGTCAGAGAATAGCTAAGTATGCCCATATCTAGACGGCAACTCTAGTTCGCCAGAAGGGAAGCAGAGAGAGGGTGGCGAGAGCAGTTCGCCTCAGGCTTGTAGAGGATCACAGGGGCCAGTGTTCAGCAACCCTGGCTTCAGTAGAGCTCCGCTCGGCCCGTCCCCGTCCCAGTCCGGGCTGCCCCCTCCTCCGCGGGCCCCGCTGCTCGCTCCAGGCGAGGGAAGCTGCCCTGTCCCGCGCCTGCGCCGGGACCGCAGGAGCGCCCAGCAGAAGTGCCCGCACCTAAAAGGAGATAAAACAACGTGCTGGTCGAAGGGTATTGCAGGTGCGAGTGTCTTGCAGTTGGCCGAGTCGCTCTTCACCGGCTGTTTTCAACGTCAGTTTCTGCACAGAGCACCTTCTTCTGTCTTTTCCGCTGCCACTACTCAGGCAGTGATTGGCATTACCCTCGAGGAGGTGAAGGCGAGCTGGGTCCTTGCTGAGGCCATGGCGCGGTGTGTGACGCAGCGGGCTGCGCAGAGTCGCCGCTGTGGGCACGATGATGCCGGGGGAGACGCCGCCGCCGGCCGGGACTGCAGCCGCCGCCGGAGCCTGCGCCAACTGCGGTGTTCTCCAGCAGGTAGACACGGGCTGCCCTTCCTGTGGCGCTGGAGCGGGGTAGTGGGGCTGCGCCGGGCCGCTGGCGGGTGAAGAGTCCCGAGTCCCACAGTCACCGCTCCCGGCGCGGCGGGAACCCGGATAGCGTGTGTGGCGAACGGGCTTTGTAAAAGTAGCAGCAGTGTCGAGCTTTAGCCGGGCGAAATGTGGAAAAGTAGCTCAGGTGTCTGCGGCGTGCCTGGGAATTTTTAGGCGTATCCTTTTGGCTTTGCTTCGGTGCAGTGAAAAGACTGTTATGATTCACTTTCTTCCTTGAGGTCTCTTAAGCGAGCATGTATTTTTATAGTATTATGCTTTGGGCAATATTCGTTTCTCTTGTAAATAAAGGGAAGGCCTGTTGAGAGTCCATAAGACACATTTAGAATGAGTATGGATTGAGAATTTGGAAAATCTGTAGACTCAAGTGAGCTGATGTTTTTTATTGCTAATATTCTGCCAAAGCTTAGTTGAATTTTGAGGAGAAAATCTTACGGGGATTTAGTATAGAATCTACCGCAAAAGCAACGTTTAAACAGCTTTTGTAGTAAGGCTTCATTTAAGTATGCATACTTTCTTGTGCAGCTTACATTCTCTACTTGTATTTAAATGGATATACTTTTGATGACTTAGTAATAAAGACTAAAATAAAGAAGACAGATTATTGTATTCTGTACCACATTAGCAATCAAGTTAGGGGTATTTACAGTAGATAGTACTAGTTTTTGGGGTATAAGTTCTTTACCAACTTGAGACTCTTCCTTACAGAATATAAATGAATATGTAGCCGCATTAATTGCACTGAAGCAAAAAATGATTGATGGAGAGTAAGTACAATTGCATGTATGTTTTTGTTTGGTGGGCTGGGTTTTATTGCTCTTAAGTGCTTAAAACAATGCAGGTGGATGCACCACACTAAATGCTCCAAAATGAAAGTAACTTCTTCACAAGCGGTTCTAAATCTAGACTGTAAGACTTCTTTAATATAAGCTCTAAAGCAATGGTATGTAATGGCAGTAAACGGTGCTAAGTACAGGCAGAAGCAGCTCTGTGAAGAGATTTATTTCATTTGTTTATCTATAAATTTATTTATATTATTATCTCATTTATTTGTGTTCATTTATTTCATTCTTGTGAAGAATATGAGAAATAAAGTCGAGTACAGGTATGTATGAACCTTTTAAACAGAATTAAGTCTGATCATTAGAGTGTGAAATGCTTTTGTATTAAATATCAGAATATGGAAAGTGAAGCTGAACATTTTTCAGAACAATAAGGTTCTAAAATACTTCTTATAATTTGTTTTCTCTTATTGCTTGCAGTTCTTCTCAAAAACCATCAACATATGCTTGTATGGAATAAAATATCAAGATCTGTTATGTATACCTCCTAGTGTGGCCTAATATGCATGCTATGCCTCCTAATTGTAATGTTTTGTTTCTCATGTACTCTCTCCCAGATACATGTCAATTTGGCTTGAGTGAATCTAAATTCCAGTCCTGCATTCTGGTTTCCAAACAGTATTTAAGAGAGCACACACCGGGACCCTTTTTTCAAAGCTCCTTTACTATGTGTGATTCCTTTTCTGACCTCCAGACTTTGTATCCCTCTTCCTTCTGCCAATGCACACAATTCTTGTGGGAATTGCCTCTTTAACTACTTGCAGCTCAGCCTTTCTTTTTTTGCCTTTCTTGATTACTCTTAAATGTTGCAAGAGAAAGTAATGCAACCCTCTCTGTACTGGGGTAATGGCCATGGTATTTCTCTTTCTTGTCCTTTCTTCTCACAGTTCTTAAAAACCATAGCATTTAAGGAAAGAGTTACTTTCCTTCCTGCTGTCCCTCTTGGATCAGGGTGTTACCCTCTTATGGCTGCTGGGAGAATAATGTAAAGATTAAGGCATTTTAGGGTCTTTTGAAATATTTTTCTGAGATTTATGTGTTCTTTTTTAGGAGAACATCTTTTTAAGTTTTAGGAAAACATCCTTTTGGTAACATGTTATATATGTATCTTTTAATTTATGCATGTATATTAATCTTTATATACATATATATACATATGTATATAAATTTTTACCTAAACAGTATTTTTTTTATAAACTGCAATTAGTTGATGGCTACAAAGTAATGTAACTCAGTGAGTTTTTTATATTTCAAAGCAGTCTGATTTGAGGTTTGAATGGCTTAATGAAACAAAAGGGTTATATTGACTACTATCAGAAAATGCAAACCAATCTTGCACTTTCTGTATTTATCTGTAAAGCAAAAGGAGAGGTATCCTGAGACATAATTGTCAAAATTGGGGGAGAAAATTAGTAAAGTCTTTTTTTCTTTACTTGCAGTCGTTTGCTGACAGAATATCAACAGAAATGCACTGATATCCTTTACTTTTCTATTAGTGTCCTTACAGAATTACTATACTTATAACACTTCTTATAAGAGTACTTGAGACTTTTTACTTAAGGTTTAAGTAGTGATATCTCCAGTGAAGAACAAACTGGGTAGGTTTTATAAAGAAAATAGGCCTTTGGAATTAAAACTATCCACTTAAATTCTGTCTGTGTCTAATATATGGTTCAAGATGGTCTATTTGAAATCTGTATTGCGTGAGAATTACTCACGTAACAGAAGAAGCTCTGCTTATTCACTTCAAGTGTACTGAAATGTATGTATTAAACACTTAGTTGTGCAAGTCTTGTGGAGTTTTTTGTGTGAGGAAGTTTTTATTGGATGTTTCTTTGCAAGTGGCAATTGAGTTGAAATACATTTAAGGACATTTGATGAACTGTTTTTAATTTCTACCTTAACAAGAGATTACAGCTTCAATTTGCTGAACGGTAAGTTGATATAGGTTGTTTAATAAAGATGCTATGTTTTCAATTTGCCACCGGCTGCCGCAAGAGAGGAGCCCCAAAGAAAAGATACAAGGACTCCCTGAAACAACATCTCAGCCTTGGCCATATTGATCAACATAACTGGTCTACCCTGGCCTCCAATCGGGAGGTCTGGAGACACACCATCTTTTGATACTTTTTTTGATACTTTTGAGAAAGCACACAGGATCACCCTTGAGGAGAAAAGACAGTGCAGAAAGAATCGTGCCTTGCAGAATATACCACCTAAGGAGTCTTTCTGTTTTGCCTTTTGCAACCGGACGTGCCTATCTCGTATTGGCCTTTTTAGCCACCAACGCGTTTGCAACAAACGTGGGTAGAGCCCTTCCCAAATCTTCGTTCACGAAGCGTAGCCATGATGTTTTCAATCTTGTGGTTAGTTTTGGGAGTCTGATGCTGTAATAGCAGCAGCCCTGGGTCTCAGCTGAGCATTTAGTATGGTCCTTTTACTGTGCTTCCTAGGCCATAGTTCGCAAAGCAGAGAAATCTGTTGTCCTTCTACAGTACCTGTGTAGGATTCTTTCCTGGGCCTATGTTACATAAGAGTCTTAAGTGACCAAGTGGAGATGTGGAGCTCATATTTTGGTGGTAGTTAAATGTAAGCCTATTTGGGGCGGCCATATTTGTATGAAGCATTTTACTTTAGAGTTGTGGCTGCGTGCTCTTGCTTACTCTGTCTGATTATAGAGGAAGAGGCAGCATATAATCCTGCCTGCTGAAGAATACTGCAGTTGGACTCTGCTCTAATTTTACAGCAATACGTAGGCAGAGACACTCATTACCAGCACTTTAGTGTAGGCAGCACACCTATGTGGCATGTGCCATCTGCTTGCATTTAACTTCAGGCTCAGTGTAGTGTTTTTTAACCAGATCTTAAATTTTCTTTAAATGTTGGATAGAAAAATGAGAATACTGAGACTCTAAAAGCTTTTGGGTATCTCTCACAGCAATTTTCCATAGGAAAAAAGCAAAGTATTCAAGACACTTGACTGAAGAATCAGAATATTACATTTGAAAGCACCTGTGTTTTTGGCAACTTCTTTTTTAATTGCACATCCCGTTTCAGAGAGATCTCTGCTCTTCGTTGCCAAGTGGAGCAGATGTTACAGAAAATTCTGCCTCTGGAAAAGTGCCAGGAAGAGTTGGGTTCCTTGAAGGCAGAGTTGGAAGAGAAAAAGGTGTGCTTGTAAGGTTTAAATGACTTGCACTTTTTCCATTGAAGGAAATGTATATATTTAATGGTCATATTAATGAAGCTGACTTTAATGAGCCCAGTTGTTATTTCCAGCTTATTGGGACAGGCAGCTCTGGGTTTAGGTGAAATTGATTAAATGATAGCAGGTTTCAGAGAGCCAAAAAATTTAGGTTGTTGTAGTTCATATGATTTTTCATCAGATTATTTGTTTTTTATTTCCTAACTTAGGAAGGAAGGAGAAACACTCAGATTCCTTTGGTTTTCTGTTCTGCTCTTATTAGAATATTGAATACTTGTACTACTGAAAAGGTGCAAAGAGAGTCTGTGCAGAAGAGGTTATGCTTCTGTTACCATTTTGAACATATGCTTTCAGATTATTAGCTTCTAGAGTTTATCCCTAATTTCTCTCCCATTTCTCCTGAGATTTAGTCTACAGGAGAAAAGCTTTTAACTGTTCAAATCACCTAAATATATGTATTTCCTATACATTAACTATTATTTCTGCAAAAAATACCCCACCCTCTCTCTTTCTTGTATTTTTTTTCATGATGGTACAAGGCAGGATATTAATATTTGTCTTGTCGCTGTACACATTTTGTCTTCCATGTTAGAACTGTTTATAAGTCCTCTTCCCTCAGCAAGTGTTAGTAGCTGATGTCCTGATGGCACTTTCAAAAACAGCAGGATTATACATATGGTGTATAATAGTTGTGCTCTTGACTTCAACTTTGAGTTCCTATCCAGATAGATGTTAGAGGCACATACTCAAAAGATAGATAAACATATAGAGATTTATGTATTTGTTTGTTTGTTATAACTTTTGCTGTTAAAGGAGGATAACCTGACTTTTCAACTTGCTTGTTTTCTCATGGAATATACTTTTTTGGCTATGCACTAGAATAGGTAAGGTGTCTGCCATTTTTTTTTTTTCTCCTCAGTATGGACATATTTTAACTCTGCTTTCCTTCTTCACAGAGTTCTCTCAAGATTTATCGTGAGAGTCAACTGGAATATGTTAAAATTAAAGAAGAAATAGTAAACAGTGATGCTATGTGAGTGATGCTTCTTTTTTTCACAACCTTTCTTTCCCCCTCTTACCTCTTCCAGAACTTGATCTTATACTTTACCTAGTTACGCTTTCCATTTGTTTATGGGTTCTTACAACAATGAGTTGATGGAAGGCCAGTCTTAAATTTTGTAGCAAACACACTTGAGTGTGGTGTTAGTTTAATTATTATCTTGTCTTGAAGTGGCTCTTGGTGGTTGTTTAGCAGAAGTTTTTTAAGAACAGGATGAGATAGAGAAAAAGCTTTAGTTCTCCAGTTTTAAGTGATTTTTAGTCTCAGGTTTTTGTTATTTCCCTCCATTTCAGTTGTGCTGATAAGTCCCTGAGGATAATAGAGAAATTATATTATCAAAGTGGTCTGCACTAAAATCAGTCCTTAAAATAATTGTTTTTAAAGAAACAGCTCAGCAGTTTAGGGTGAACTGTGTGCCATGTTTGAAAGTGAGCAGGAGGGATTTGGCACCAAAAGTGCAGAAGCTGCTTTTGCTGCCACAGTACAGAATATTCTGAAACTGTGCCTTGATAATTCCCAAAGTTTGTTTTTCCAGTAACTAGTCACTCCAAGGGTTCCTTGCCTGGAGCATATGTGTATACTGTCATTTCTTACAGCTCTTGATGAATACTCTAATGAACTTGTCTACTTGCTTTTTAACCCTCTAATCTAAATCACCTGTATCACAGAATTGCGACTTCTCTATATTGTTTAGAAAGGTGCTCGTGCTCTCAAAGAGAACCAACTAATATATAGCTGGGTGTTATTAGTTGGTAGTTGTGGTTATTTTTCTCTAGATGCATCACTTTGCATTTATCAAAACCAGTGATTGCTCTCTAGTAACTTGGAATTCTAAGACCCATTTGCTCTTTTTTGTAGTCAGCTTTTATTTCTGATGTGTTCCAGCACACATCCCAATGGGACTCCCACTGGTGACTCCTTACTTGCTTGTTAGCTGACTATCATTTTTAATTTTGGTGTTCTTAAGCTATTTTGGTGCTATCAGCAGGTCAAGGGAAGGGATCAGTTCCCTCTGCTCAGCACTGGTGAGGCCAGACCTGGAGTACTGTGCCTTGTTCTGAACTTCTCTGTAAAAGAGATATGGGTATACTTGCAGAAGGTCTAACAAAGGGCCATGGAGATGAACAAATGACTAAAGCATCTCTCAAATGAGATACCCTAGTATCTTTACATGACTTGTGAAATATACAGTACTTGCAAAGCACAGCATCACGCCACTATTGCCCAAAAGACTGTATAAGCAGACTAACATTGTTGTCTCTTCTTCTGCCAGACTGCACTTATTTCACATATAGGTGTACTCAATGTTCTGTGAGCTTAATGGAATATTTAGCGCATCATCCTGTCTAAGAACAGCAGAGGGCAGCTACACCATTGCTAACTCTATCTTAGGAGGGAACTGACCAGCCCAATGTTCTGGCAGTGTACTGTGTCAATACAGATACATTGCTTGTCTCCTATCTGTCATTTATATGTTCAAGAAGAAGGAGCCAGGGAACTACAGGTCAATCAGCCTCACCTTGATCCCTGGGAATGTGGTGGAGCAGCTTATCCTGGAACTCATTTCCAAGCACATGAAGGACAAGAAACTCCTTGGGAGTAGACAGCATGGCCTCACCAAGGGAAAGTAATGCTTGACTGTCTGGGATCTACTCCCCTGGTAGATGAGGGGAGAGCAGTGGCTATTGTCTTCCAGTCCTTCAATGAGGTCTCTGACATTGTCTCCCATAAGAGCCTCACAGCCCCTCAGGCTGGTACTGTAGGGGCTGCATGGGCAGACAGTGAGGTGGATTGAAAACTGGCTGAATGGCCAGGCCCTGAGGTTGGTAATGAACAGTGCAAAGTCTAGTTGGAGACCAGTAGGTAGCAGTGTACCCTGTGGGAAGACAGTGAGGGCCGCATACTGGGTCTAGTCCAGTTTAACATCTTTGTTAATGATCTGCATGATGGGGCAAAACATATCTCAGTGAGTTTGTCAATGATACAAAGTTGGGAGGAGTGGCTGATGGACCAGAGGGGTGTGCTGCCATCCAGCATGAGCTTGACAGGCTGAAGAAATGAGCTGACAGAAACCTTGGGAAGTCCAACAAGAAGTGCAAAGTTCTGCACCTGATGAGGAACAACCCCACACACCAGTACATGCTGGGAGCCACTCAGATGGAGAGCAGCTTGGGATGCTGCTGGACACCAAGTCAGACACGAGCCAGTGATACACACGTTGTGGCAAAGAAGGCTACCGGTATCCTGGTCTGCAATAAGCAAAGTTTTGCCAGCAGGGAGGGAGGCCTGAGGGAGGTGCTCCTCTGCTCAGCACTGGTGAGGCCACCCCTGAAGTACTGTGTTCAGTTCTGGACTCCTCAGTACAAGAGAGACATGGACATACTGGAGTGAGTTCAGTGAAGGACTATGAAGGTGATTAAGGGATGGGAACATCTCTGCACTGACAGAACACTGAGAGAACTGGGACTGCTAAGTCTGGAGAACAAAGGTCTCAGGGCTGATATCATCAGTGTCTATAAATACCTGAAAGGAGGGTGTAAAGACAACAGAGCTAGAACCAGGCTCATTTCCATGGAGCCCAGTGACAGGACAAGAGGTCATGGGCAAAAACTAAGACACAGAAGGTTCCCTCTGAACATCAGGAAACATTCTTCTTTGCTGTGAGAATAACTGAGTATTTTCACAGGTTTCCCCTGGGCAGTTGTGTCCTCTCCATCTTCACAATACTCAGAAATCATCTAGACATGGTCAATTAGCTGTAGGTGGCCCTGCTTGATCATGGTGTGTTGGACAAGATAACTTCCAGAGGACCCTTCCAACCTCAGCCTTAATTCTGTGATGCTGTAGCTATTTTGTATAGCTCTGATGCTCATGTATTTTAAGCAGTAGGTCATATGACTTCAGTTACTTGAAAGCTGGGTTTCTTCAGAAGCAGAATAATAGTGAATTGTTCATAAAATTATTGTTAATCTACAGTTACTGTAAAATAATTTAGGTCAGAAATTATCTCGCAAGTCCTTTGATCAAATCTGTCATTCAGAGTCAGTGTCAAAGTTAGCTTGCTCAGGACCCTGTCTAGTTGAGATTTGAATATTTACAAGGATTGCATTTCCCATGTTATGGGACTGGCCTGAAGTTGTGTCAGGAGAGGTTTAGGTTGGATATTAAAAAAAGGTTCTTCACCCAGAGGGTGGCTGGGCACTGGAATAGGCTTCTCAGGGAAGTGGTCACAGCACTAAGCCTGACAGAGTTCCAGAAGTGTTTGGACAATTCTCCAGAGTGTGACTCTTGGGGATGGTCCTGTGCAGGGCCAGAAGTTGGACTTGATGATCCTTGTGGATCCCTTCCAACTTGGCATATTCTGTGCACTTGAGTTGTGTAGCATAAGAGGAGTTCTGTCCAAATGTATTATCTACAAACCTTGCTGTTTGTAAATCACTAGATTTTAATATCTACCTATTTTCTTAATGTAATTGCAGGTGTTGATGAAATTAGTATACTACTGCACCTGTAAATGTAACTACTTAATTTGTAAATATCATTGCAATGATAATGTTGGCACTTAGTGGCTGTTTGGTTATTCAGATTTTTTAGTTGTTTGTATCATAGAATTTTTATCTTGAGTTGAGAAGGACCTGTAAGAAGCATTGAGTCCAACTGCCTGTTACTCACAGGACTACTTAAAGCTAAACCATGTGACTAAGACTGTCATGCTTCTTGAACTCTTGACAGGCTTGGTGCCAATGATGCACTTCCCTGGGGAGTTTGTTTTGGTGACCGACGACCCACTCACTGAAGAATCTTTTCCTAATGTCTGACCTGAACTTCCACTGACAGAGCTTCATTCTGTTTCCTTCTGTCCTATCACTGGTCACCAGAGAGAGGACATCTGCACCTTCCCTTCCACTGTTCCCCACTGAGGAAGTTGTAGACTGCTATGAGGTTACCCACTAGCCTTCTCTTCCCTAAGCTGAACAGGCCAAGTGACTTCAGCTGTTCCCTGTAAGTCTTGACCTTGAGACCTTTCACCATCTTGATCATACTCCTCTGGATGCACTCTTACTAGTTTGATGTCTTTATATTGTAGTGCCCAAAACTGCATACAGTACTTGCAGGGGTGTTGCACCAGAGCAGTGTACCAGCAGGTCAGTCACCTCTCAACCAGCTAGCGATGCTAGGACATGGTTGGCCCTTTTGGCTACCAGGTAGCACTGTTGACTAATATTCAACTTACCATAGATCAAAACCCCAAGATCTCTTTCTGGTCTCTCATCCCCCAATTTGTGTGCATAACCAGGATTACTTTGGCCCATATGGGGAATCTGGCACTTGCCCTTGTTAAATTTTGTATGGCTGGTGATTGCCCATTGCTCTAGTCTATCCAGAGCTCTCCGTAAGGCCTCTCTACCCTCAAGGTAGGAGGGTAGAATCTACAGCTCCTTCTAATTTCAGTTGGCAGAGCTACTTAGTGTACTACGCATTTGACTCCTGTATCCAGATCATTGAAGAGCACTGGCCCCAGAACTGAGTCCTGGGGAACCCCACTAGTGACTGAGCACCATCCTGATGTAACCCTATTTGCTATAACTCCTTTAGCATGACACATCAGCCATCAAATGTATCATGGACTTTTCTAGCTGGATGCTGGTCATTTTGTCCAGAAGGAGAAACATATCAAAAGCTTCACTAAAATCCAAAAAGCCTCACATTGACTGACTTCCCTTAATCAAAAGGATGGATGACCTTTTTGTAAAAGGAAATTAATTCATTAAACAAGACTTTCCCCTCATCAGCCTAGCTAAGACCAATGACTGCATTGTCTCAAGTGTTTTTCAGTAACTCCCAGAGTAACCTTCTCTATCATTTTACCAGTAACTGGAGTAAAACTGACAGGCCTGTCATTACCAGAGTCTTCCTTCTTACCCTTCCTGAAAACTGGAACATTTGCCAACTTCCAGTTGACTGGGACCTCTCCAAATGCTCAAGACCATTGAAAAATAATGGAGAGAGGTCCTGTGCTAACATTGTCCAGCTCTTTTAGTACTCTGGCATGAATCTTGTCAGGCTCCATAGACTTATATGTGTCCACCTGGAGCAGCAAATCTTGAACAGGTTCAGAGTTGTCTGGGAGTTTATCACCCTACCAGTCATGGTCTTCCAGCACAAGTCTCGGGGTCATCAGGGCCCATTGTTGATGAGAGATGATGAGTGACAGAGATGAAGAAGGCATTAAAGATCTCTGCTTTCTCTGCATCCCTATTTGTGATGTGACTGACCTCATCAAGCAATGGACCAATGTTATTTCTGATCCTTTGTTTGCTGTTAAGATATTTTGAAAGGCCCTTTTTGTTGTCCTTTAGAGTACTGGTCAGCTTGAACTCTAATTGAGCTTTGGCTGCATGAATCTTCTCCCTCAATGGCGAACAGCATCTCTGTAGTCTTCCCATGTCAACTGACCCTGCTTCCACTATCCACGCACTGTAGATGCAGTGCTTCTGTGCATTGTTTAGAAGATTATCTACAGAGAATCAGATGTTTACCTCCTGTTTTCTGAAGGACAACTTCTCCCCCCCTTTTTTTTCTCTGCAAAGATGTTTTATGAGCAATTTTTTTCTGAAATTCTCATCTATGGCTTGACTGTCAAAGTCATTATATAGAGAAGTAAGTATGAACCTGTTCAGGCTGAGAAGGCACAAGATCATTGGTCTATTACTTTATAGTATAAATGCTTTGACTACTTGTTATAGGCTATAAATCCAATGAGGGAATTTTTCCTTCCCCTGCTCCACTGTAAGAAAAAACGGAGTTTGAATGGGAAGGGGGAAGAGGGTCAATTAGCTTTACAAAAGGTCTAGCCAGCAAAGCCGGATTCCTAGCTAATGGCCCATCGAAGGCTGGGGGGGGGGGGAAGAGTTTGGGATTTTTTTTTTGGGTAGCTGGCCCAGCTCATGGAGATGGAGAGGTCAGTTTTTCTGGGTTCTCTCTCTGGGACAGAGATGGGGTTTGCGTGTGTGCTTTTGGAGAAAAGGCCTAGAGGCCTGTCTTTCTGGCTTCTCATCTTGGTCAGCCCTGACTACTGGCCTCGACCTGCTTGCAATCTGTCTTTGTCTCCAGCCCGGACCTGCTGCGTTTTCATTGGAGAGGTTTTTTTTTTGTGCTTACTGGGAGAAAAAAAGGAGGAGCCTTGAGACACTGTCATCTGAGGACAACAGTGAGTTCCATGGGGGTGGACTGCTTTCCTTTCCCCCTTCTTCCATTGGGGGAAGGGTCCCCATTTTTCTTTTCAGTTTCTCCCACAACCTGAGACCACCCCCCCAGACCCCCTTCCCGTGTGGTGACCGCCAGAACCCAACAGCACCCCCTGCAGGCCAACACAGAGTACTGCAGGCTCTGCACCTCCAACAATCCAACAGCACCCCCTGCCAACTGTGATTAGAACTGCGCTAAAAGACAGAGAAGTATTCAGACTTCTCCTTTTGTTTGAAGAGGACTTTTGGGTACAGGACTATTGTCTAGTCTTTTTTTGTGTTCTGTTACTGTTCTTGCCAATATACATATATCTTTTATAAAGGATTGTTATTTCTTCTGTTTTTCCACACTTCCTCGATTAAAGCCCCTTAATTTTGAATTTACAATTGCTGAGAGAGAGGAGTTTGGTCTGTCTCATAACTCATCCTCTTTAGCAAACATTCCAGTCTCTTTGGACTGAGACATTTTTGGTGCCCAATGTGGGGCCTGGAAAGAGGAAAGGTGGAAAAAGAATAACTACCCTTTGTGTGAGTTACACACATTTTGAACCCCTTGTGTGATTGACACGCGTTTTGAACCTGTAGGCACCATGATGTTAGGGGTTGTTGGTTTCCTCTGGCATATAACCATGCCAAGGTATCTGTCCCACCTGTCAATGTGTTTCAGTTCAGATACTAGTACTCTCATTGCGATAAGTACCTTTGAGTTTGTGCATTGGGTGTATGATACAGCAAACTCAGCACCTATGATTTTCATCTGGAATATGTCCTCAAGGATGCATTACTGTTCTAGCCTAAGCTGTTTCCTCTGGGGTTTTAAGGATAATAGCACCCATTCCTATGGAGGAGCAAAGGGGACTGTATTTGCCCAACCCTTTATTCAGTTTCCCTTTGGATACAATACAATGGCCTCTGGGAAGTTTAAATCCTCTTTAGATGTCAGAGACGTTTTACTTGTTGGGCTTTCTATCCTAGTTTGTACCATTATAGTATACCTAATATATGAAGCCAAGGCCAAAAATTACCGAGAAGGCGTCCAGGAGCCTGCCCCAGGGGTGGCATGGATTATGGGAGGACATGGGTAAATTCCTAGAAAGGTGCTCAGCTCCCACAAAATGGAAACTCACCCTTGAACAACCCTTGAACCCTACAAACATAATGAAAGCTGTGAGGGAGGGAGATTGTGATGGATCCATGGAGAGGCAGTTGGCAGCTGCATGTGGGGTTTTGTCCATTGCCTACCGGAAGTTGCTCGGTATAGTGCAGCACTTCCAGGGAAAAAGAAAAGATGAAAACAAAATACCTAATACCAAGGTGACTCAGGATAAGGCCAAATCAAAGGGGCAGACCAAGCCAATGGAGGTTGCCCCTATCCAGAAGAAGAAACATAAAACCAAATCAGTTCGCCCAGTTGATGATGATGGGGAGGCAGGACCCTCACAGGCGGCTGCTCCGGAGCCAGAAATCATCACTGAGTCTTTATCGTATAACAACCTCCGGAGCTTACAGACAGACATTGCCCATCGCCCAAATGAGCCCATTCTGGCCTGGATGATCCAAGTTTGGGACTCTACAGGTGATGCCATAAACCTTGATGGCGGTGAAGCGAGGTTCCTGAGATCTATTGCCCAGGATGTGGGTACTGAGGAGGCGTTTGTGAGGGAATCAAAGTCTCTATCTCTCTGGGCACGGCTTTTGGACGGTGTGAGGAAGAGGTTCATCTACAGAGATTCCTTGCAGGCAGATCATTATACCACGGGCTGGAAGACCATAGAATAAGGGATCCTGCATCTGAGGGAAATAGCACTGCTGGAAGTATTGTTTGGAGGGGATGGGCAACCCATCAACGATCCTGATAGAGTTAAGTGTACACCACAGATGTCGTGGAGCTTCACCCGCATGGGGCCGTCCACACATAAAGGTTACCTGACATCATTGCAGGCTGGGGAAAAGCAGGAGCCAGTGATGTCTATAGTAAATAAACTTTGGTTGTACGACAGTATGATCAAAGGACCACTACAGGCCTGCATCTCCACTGTAGAGACACTGATTAAGAATCTCAAGGAATTAACTACAGGCTTGAAAGATAAACAGGAGAGACTGAAAGAGAGGATTGAGGGAAACAATTTCCATATGGCCCCAGTGAGAACCAGAGGCTCCCCAGCTAGAGAGAGCAGACAGACTTCACGAACTGAGTTGTGGTACTTCCTAGCTGACCATGGAGAAGACATGAGACGGTGGGACAGGAAACCTACTCGGGCCCTAGCAGCCTGAGTACAAGAGTTGAAAGAGAAAGGAAAAGGGAAGTCTGTGAAAGTGAGTGCCGTACCAGTATCCTGCGGGCAGGGATCTGACCCACTAGAAGGTACCTCCCGTTGGTATTCACAAGAGGAAAACGGTGATTGGCAGGATGAAGATCAATGTTAGAGGGGCCCTGCCTCTAGCCAGGTAGAGGCACGGGACAACCGTGTCTATTGGACTGTGTGGATCAGGTGGCCTGGCACGTCAGACCCACAGAAATACCAGGCTTTGGTTGATACTGGCGCTCAGTGTACGTTAATGCCCTCAAAGGGCAGAGGGCAGAGACTATTTCCATTGGGAAATAGTGGGACCAGAGACTATTTCCATTTCTGGGGTGACTGGAGGGTCTCAAGAGTTGACCATGGTGGAAGCTGAGGTGAGCTTGACCGGGAAAAACTGGCAGAAACTGAGACACTACTGAACATGCAAAAGGTGGGCAATCATCATCCCGTTTATGAGTGAGTTTTCGAATATATTCCACTTAATGTCTGAAGTGATAATTAAAGCCTGCACATCCAAAAAGGCTTAGGCTGTAAATCTCAATCCATTACACAGGTTTTAATATGGAGAAAGATGAACTGTGGTCTGCTTCATGAGTGCGATCAGTGAGCATGTGTTTTTCAGGACAGAGTTCTCTGTCACAACAGTTTAAAAACAATTTATGGGATATTGGGATTTAACAGAAGGAAATAATAAAAATATTTACTTGTCTACTTATTTATTTTCCAGTTCTGTGTATGTTTTACATATAAGGTAGGTTTGGAAATGCTGAAGTCAAAATTATTCAGGATGCGTGATTATTTTTGTTTCGGTTTGGCTTTAGTAAACACTTGGATATTGTAAACAAAAAGCTGTGGGACATGAGTGATCCTGAAGGCTATTCCTGATTATCTCATTTCTTAGATACTATTCATTGTAAGCAAGTCTTAATTGTTTTTAAGGAGTAAAACTAACCTGTCTGCATTACATTATAGAAATACAAAAAAACAGAGACCGGTTTTCTGCTGTTGCGTTTCTAACTCCAAGATGTAACTAAAGGCATGTTTATGTACCTGGATTAGTGGATTGACCCTCTTAAAAGCAAACTCAGATATAGCTGTCTGTGTGAGAAAGTCAGCAACATGCTGCTGATTTATTTTTTTCAGCTTCAGGTACTTGTTGGTCTTACAGGTCCTGGGGTATAGGGAGTGTGTTTTTTCTGAAATGGCTGGGTTTATTTTTTTTCTGGCTTTTCATGCAACATAATTCTATTTAAAAAATGGTCTATTAATATGTTCTTTTTAACAGGAGAAAGAAACTGGAAATAAAAGTGAAGAAGCTTGAAGGTAACTTTCTACATTGTGTTGCTGTACTGTTGTTCACCTCAATCTCCTGGTTCTTTTTCTCTCCCAAGAAGTAATTGTGACTTAAACTCAGAGGCTCCAAGGAGCAAAGCAGGGCCATAATGTGTGGAATTACATCAGCCTTCCTGCAGAATGTTTTCTGATGAGTATCTTAGGCACATGACGTAAATCAAGTTGGAAGGGAGCTTCTGGTCATGAAAACCTCAAAGGATAGAGTCTGACCAGCCTGTCCAGGCAACTTGATTTGCTGCATGACTGACATGTCTTTCCTTATAACCAGTGGGAAACTCTCGTGTTTCAGTTTACGCCTGATATCTACTGTACAACAGTGAACAGTCTCATTCCATCTTCTTCATACCTTCTTCTACAGGAAAGCTGTTCTTGGTTCCTTAGAATTGTTTTGTTCTCCTCTCAAACTAATTAAGTCTAGTTCAATGGGCATGTGCTCCCGTGTTCTAATAATCCTGGCAGAATTCTTCTAGTCATGTTTGTAATAATGTTTAAATATATGGTGATCCTGGTGCGTATTTTCTGATTTTTAAATATTCTGGCACTTGTATTTTGGTTGGTCAGTTTGTTTGTTTGCTTTGTGTTTAAGTAGAGATAAAGCATTTGCCTCATGGCACTGTGTTTTTCTTGTTTTCTGGTAGAAGATGGATATGCATAAAACTTTCTGATACTTCACTTGTACTGTCATCTGGCAAGGCAAATATTTGTGTTCATCGCATGCTTACGGCTGTGCTTACCAACATTTAAAGTACAGTGAACTGAGAGACTTGTATCTTAGTGTTAGAAACCTCCCAAATCCTGCTCTAAAGTACAGGTACAAGGTGTTAATTTTGATGAGAATTTTGGAGTTCCATTTTAGGACAGCTAGGTTTTTATACACACTTGCCTCCAAAAACTCAAATTCTGCCAGAACTAGAACAAAATACTGAGAGTTTGTGTTAGGTCCAATTTTAGTGACTATTTTATGTGTTTTGGCGTTTTTTTCTGTGTTCATTAAATATCCCAGACCTCATATCTTTTGTCAATATGAAATTTTGCCACGGTTGTTTTTTGTCAGCCTATCACCTTTGATGCCTTTTTAAGACCTTTTGTTTTAATATGCTTTCTTCTGTGACCTGATCTGATCAGCAGGCAAATTCCATCTGTCTTTACTGTTCTGGGAACCTCACATTCAATTCTCATTTACCTACCCTGTACTCTGTTCCCACCCATCTGCAGTCTTCCAAGGTGTCTGTTAGACATTAAGAGATAAGGTCCCTCTTCTCTGTTTATTAGTATTGAGTGCTATCTGCATGTTTCTAATGCAGCTGACTGTGGTGTTTTCATCTTTGAACGAGAGCCCTCTTTTAAATAAGAGAATCAAACGTGTAAAAAACCCACTGCACCTCATTCTTAATTTTATTTCATTTTTTCACTTGGTCTATATTGTTCTACAATACAATATCATTACAGTATGACCCACTCTTCATTCTTGCATGTAAGTGAGAAAACTTATAAATGTATTGCAGTAGTTCAGAACAGTAATCATGCAATAGAAGACAACATACTTGTATGCATGTGTTGTTGTCTTAATGACCCAAAATATAACTTCAGTAGTTTTTTATTTCACACTATATATTTATTTTTTTCTGGTAATTTGATTTGCAAACTAGTGACGGGCACTACTTAAATTAGTGGTCATCATAGTGTAGCTTCTAACTTGAATTTTGGTTCATTTTTCTTGAAGAGGCTGCAACAAAGCATACACAGGAGTTCAGACAACTGAAAACTGAGAAGAAAAGGCTTGAAAAGGAGCTTAAAAAGGCACAAGTAAGGCTTTCCTTGTCTTTGGGTGAAGCTTTTTTAAGTATTTCTAGAGGAAAGAAAGGAAGCTGCTGGTAGTAGAGATACTGAAACAGTAAAATTACATTTATTGGGAGTATTGAGTAACTAAACATAGCAATTCACCTTAAGAGAGAGAAATTTTCCAACTGAAGAATGACCTTTGAAATGTTGATTTAGATTTCATGCTCATTGAGAGTAGATGCTCTACAAACTATGTATGGCATAAAAAATTAATACCTTTTAATTTTAACAGGGAAAACTTGATGGTGTATTTAAAGAAAAGTGCAGAAAAGGTAGGTGTTTGCCTTTGATTGCCTTCAGATTTGTATGTGGTATTTTTCCATTTGAACATTTTCTTTCCACCTCTCCTCTTTTTAATAGTTAAGCATGCAGAGACCCAGAGTTCAAGTGAAGATCTTAAAACAGATATAGACAAAGGTAAGACTTTTTGCAAGACTGTTCTCTGTGTGGAATCAATCATTATGAATTTATTGCAACTCTTCTGGAGTTGCATTTTGGAAACAGAGGATAGTGACGGAAATGCTGTAAGAGCAGATGTGGTTGATATGAGTGTGTTACACTTATGAAGGACTAACATAATAGGTGACTGTTTTTCAGTTTTGCAGTAAAGAAAATACTGGATTCATAAAAAGGACTAGCCTGCCACGAGCATATGTGAAGTCAGTTGATGTGCAATTATAAAACAGAATGCAAACACTGAGAAAAATACACATGATCCCTTTGTCTTTGAAGCTCATTGCAATCATAAAGGACAAAATAGGAGTACAATATGCTACAATTTCTGTATGAGGATCAAGTGGAAATCCAGGAGTTATAGCTGTATCTTGTCCTATTGACTTTTTTTTTCCCTAATGATCTAAAATACATGCTACAAATAATCTGAATGTAACTGTAATGGAGCAAATTCCTTCTAAACTTCCTCTAAAGTACTGAGGCCAAACTTGAAGCAAATTTATTTTTTGTATTTTTTCAGTCTTTTAAAATGTTGGTATTGCCTTTGAATTGTTTTGATATTCTGAAGGTGATTTTGAGGCAAAAGAACCTCCTTGTTCTGTTTCTTGCTTTGCAGTTAGTTTGTTGCAGAAATTAAATTTTCTGAAAAAGGTAGACCTTGTCAGTTCCTGTGTGCCTTGGCATATTTTTTTACTTCCATTTGAATTGTACTGAATTAGTACTCAACTTGTTTTTTTCATTTTTAATTCATGGCAAAACAGGAAAATTAATACCTGAGCACAAATTTAACCTTCAAATAGGAGACGAGTTTATTAGTAATGAGAAAATGTTAGCGTTGTTAATAGCCACTAAGCAAACTTTTGCAGCTTTTCCTCTTGCATGCTGAGGTTTTTTTAACATGCCTCTTCATAAAACAATTGCAGTTTGGTGTGACCTTTGACTTAACGGAATTGGCACAAAAACAATAGTCTCTGTTCTGGTTGTTGAATCTGATTATAGTTTTGGCATAAGTGGATGAGGTGCTTGTGTATTTTACTGAGGTTTTGGGTTATTTTTCCTCATCCCCCTGCCCTTCTGTCTCTGAAACTAGGTTGTTTGACATCACCTAGCAATGGTGCTGTTAGGACTCTAGACAGGGTCTTCTAATGTTGGGGTCTGATAATTGATTCAGATACATGGTGCTATTACTCCACAATAAGACTAAGAGTGAGCATAAATGTGATATAAATCTGCCTAGAAGTTTTCCTCCCCCATTTATGTTTGTGTCAGTTGAGTTGTTTTAGAAAGCTATTTAATTTCTCTAGTGCTACATTCAAATCTACTTTTACATTTCACTCCAGGGGCTGCTACTAATTTTTGCAGTGCTTGCTATAAAAAGGAAAAGCTAGAGCATTCTGCCCCTGTTCCTTTAGACTTCCCTGTGGATATGGCCAGTACAGGATCTAGCATTTCTCTTTCTCTGAAGCTTGTACCTTGTCTTAATTGTTGTTGTGGGTATGTTGTACTTTGCTGTAGGCATGTCTGTGTTCTGAGTAAAAATAAAGAAACGCAAATTCTTAATACAATTTTCTCAATTTATTTTAAATAAAGATTTTTATTTATTTTTACAGTAAAAGTGAAGCTCTTGTTAGAAGAACTCTGGATGTGCATTGACAGTGCAACAGGAAAAAGAGAGAATGAGGAAAATCATCCTGTCTTGGGTAAGATGGCATGCAAAGTCTTGAAATTGTCTTGAAGCGCTCTCTTTTTCTGACCAAAAATAAATATTGATACTTTTTTTCAGCTTCTCTTCAGGATAAGACATGGTCTGAAAAAAGAAGACTGACTGTCACAGAAGGTGGGTTCAAGTTGAGTACTGTTTGCGTAACACTTTTTTGAAAGACTTAAATACTTTCCTTGGTGACTACCTGGTCAAGTACACGTGTGATTAGCATATTTGAAAATAATTCAGATATTAATTTAAACAGCCAGATAAACACTCTTTTAATCAAAAACTATCATAATCTGTTGTTGCAATTGAAAAATCAAATTCTTTTCATATCAGCTGTTTTGACTCTTTTTAAGTAGTCAAAACTCACCGCATGTTTAAACTGTAATTATTATATCATTAGAAACTCTGTAGTATATAATGTGAATTATGGGATGCAGGTGCTCTTTTTAGTTTGAGACAAACACATGGTAACATAATTGGGTTGTAAAATTTACAAAGCAGTTACCTCCATTTTCTTCATTGTACCTCCATTTTATTCAGTGTAATAAAAAACTAATCTGAATAGTTATCCATATGCAGTCACTGTGATGAGATTTTGCTGTAAATCAGATGAGATTCTATGGCTAGGTTAGTTATTTTTATAAAATATCTAACATCTTAATCTGCTCCTTCTTGAGAGGAAAAAACCACAAGACTTGTTTCAGAAAGTTGCTTTGTTGCTTGAAGCGAGGAGAGGACAACTTGTAACAGTGAATTGCCCTACAATGGGGATAATCAGGAGTGAAGTTTTGTGTTGTGAAATTTAATTTGTTTAGTACCAAGGCAATCAATGTTAGCATTGAACTGCTTATTTCATCTCTGCTCTTTTTTGTCCATTCAACATCAAGAAGGTATTTCACAGCAGTATGTGATAGATTTTGATGGAGTTTTCAGATCAGAGTAGTCTTAATCTTCTCTCAGAAGTGGGAAGAGGCAGCAATGTAAGGGTTTGAAGCTATATGAACTAGATTCCAGGTTGTAGATTTCAGGAGAGAACTTAATAATTTCAGTAAGTGACATAATAAAACATTCCCTGGATAAAGTAAAATTTGTCTGTGAAATATGATTTTTAAGGGGATTCTTTCAATGAGATGAGGTTAATATCAGTAGGGCTTTTCCCAGACCTGAAGTTCTGGCCAAGGTGCCAAAGAGTTGACATTTGCAATAGAGAAACTTGCCATATCCTGAACTTTTAAAAATTGCTTTGACAACTCTTCATACAGTTAAAGAGGAAACTATGAGAAAAGCATCTCTCCTAAAGAAATTCACTGTTATCAGGGACTGGGTTGGTGTCATGGTTTGAGAGCTCCAAAATCCAATTCCCTAGTCCAAGCCCCTCTCCCACATCTCAACCCAGTGTGAGAGGGGTTTTCCAGACATCACACGAGACTCAAAATGGGGGGAAGGGATTATATATTACAATGACTGTACAAAATAAATACTACAATACATTATATACAGTCTTAACTATCTCTACCATGACATAAAAGTATTTACAATGAATCAAATCTCTTCTCCCTTCCAAATAAAAGTCCAAGAGGGAAGAAGGAAGAGATCCTTTCTATTCTAAGAGCAGCAGTGTCTCTAGGGCAGCAGTCTCTCTCTCTCTCTTCCATGCAGCGGCTGTAGCTGGATCTCTGCCAGTACACACGAGGGGGGTATCCAAGCCCTTGTGGCCCTCGTCTCCAAGTGAGGGTCTTCTCTTCCGTAGGCTGTGTTCACCGGGACAAAGGTCACTTCACTACATCATACCACGAAGTGCAGGGGTCTTCGTGACGGTCCCTATCTTCAGGGGATTCAAATTCCCCTACAGAGCTTCTGTGCTCCGTCTCAAGGCAGTGGGGGGGGTGAAAGCCCTCCTCTGCATTCCTTTGGACATCCTGGTCCAGCTTCCAGGACGCCTGAGCTTCTCAGCTCCTCTCTGCAGTGCTGCTGCACTTCACCCCTCCCTTCTAGGAGGGGTCTCCAAGGAGTTTGAAGGTTTTTGGTTCAGTTCTTACTCCAAAACTCTGTCTCTGTAGAGCTTAGTTCTCTCTCTGTTGCTGACTCTCGTCTCTCAGACAACTCTGTGTCTTCCTGCTCAGCTGCATGCTTGTTTCTCCTGCTTCTCCCTTATCTCTTGGCTCTCTGCCAGTTTCTCCAGCCAGTGTTGTTTTTGCCGCTGCTGCTGCTGACGGTGGAGAAACATCCCCCAGTTTTCTAACTACAGGTACTTAGCCCAGTCTTACACTGTTCCAAGTCCCTGTAGCCCCCCAGCCAGGGGCTGGGGGGGCCAGAGCCCCCTGTGGGCTCCTGCCCTTTCTCCTCGTGGCTCTACAACATGGCTACTTCTCCAACAACAACTACAACTACTTTCTTTTCTGGTCTGCTTGTGATATGTTTATATTTTGCAAAAGCACTCATTAGCTCAAACCTCAAGGGTCACCACCCCCTAGGGGTTTACCATTTTATAGCTTCAGGGGAAAACTTTTCCCCCACCACAGTTGGAAAGGGATGGGTAGAGAAGGATGGAGAATCTCTTAGTTAGTCAGAAATCTTTGATCCATTTCTTAGAGGAAACTTTTCAATGGATGGTGTGTTCTTGGGCCTGATGTAGGTGTATAACTGATCTTGAGAGTATAGATAGGATGTAAAGTTTCTGATAAAGTACTGTTGTGTAGTTCACCATGAAAAGTAAACTTCCTAATTATCTAAGTTCTTCTAGGGGCCAAATATGTAACTGTGTTGCTGCCCACTTCAGTGTGGGGAAAGTTCTGAGCTTTGAACTGATTGGCACAAAGCAGCATGAAAGAAACCTAAGAGAGAATCACTTTCTGAATTTTCCTTCTTTGTTTCTGCTTGTGTAGGATCTCCTTTTCTCTTGGATCATCTAATGGAACTCATTTTGTAAGAGAAATCTAGGTTTTCCATGAGAAAATTTAGAACATCCGGGAAGCTCTATGTGACTGTAGCTTATAAATACTTTTATAAAACAATATATGATCTTAAAACTTGTAAGATGCAAAAGAGATAGCAGAGTTTACTTGTCATTGGGGAAAATGAGGTGATAAGGTCGTTTAGGCTGAGCAGTTTCTCCCTTCTCCTCCTCATGTCCATTGCAGCAATTGAGATTTTGATATGGAGTTGCTACATGAAGTGACTGAGATGGATCTTTGAAATAGGGTTATTGGTCAGTTTTTCTAATTTACTCCTTCAGTGGAACCAACATATTAGAATGTGCTTAGAGGTTTTTGATTGCTGGGGAGGTTATTTTGACCTATTAAATTAATAGTTTTGAATATGATACTAACATTGATGTTGCTTCAGGAGTATCTCTGCACATTCTGGTAGTGGATTAACACAGAGCAATAATGAAGCACATTATTCTTTTTTATTTTCCAACAGAGTGCGAATTTTGCCAATTAAATCAATACATCCTCTGCTCAAAACCACTCTGTGCATGTGTTGTTCTTCTTATTGTGGGATGGTGCGGTGACTCGCCTCTAAGGCAGGGCAGCCAGGTTCATTGTTAAAGGATCCCTTGGGGTGGATTAAAGCAAAATGATGCTAAATAACCAATATAACAATGAATTTTATTAGAACAACTGCTTTGAAAACATAACTGGGAAAAAAACGTAATGGATTGGAACATGGATTGGAAAGTGTATAACACTTCTGAAGTGTATGATCATCCTAAGAGAGAAAAATTGAAAAGAGAAAAACAGAGAGATTAGAGGCAGAAAGATATTATTACCCATAGCTCCAGTGATGCATGGGTGATTGTGGTCTGTGGTTGTGATACACAGTCCTAGTCCATCGGAGGAGGGGGCCCACATAGGCATCAAAAATTGGGGTTCTTATAACCCTGATTCTTCCAATAAGTGCCCCAGTACCTCCTCCAGGAGGGGTTCTGGGCACGCACAGTCTTCTTTCCGGAAGTCTGGTGGCATCAGGGGTTGAGTGTGTGTGTGTCTGCATGTGCCTGGCAAAAGTTCTGAGTAAACTTTTCAGAGTTTTGCAGCTGTGCAGTGCAGGAGAGAAACTGCCATTAAAAAAAAAAAAACCCAGTACCCTGCTTCTGCAGTATCCATTGCTTAACAGCTGTTTCTCCTTTAATTCTAAAACAGCTTGTTTAAGGCAAAATTTAGCCACAAGGTCCAAGTGGTTCACTGCAGATGGTACTCAGGTGTACACAGAATAGGCTTGATCTCTTGCTTGAATACTGCTAATTCGGTGTCCAGTAGTGTTTGTGAGCACTGTAAACAAGATCACACATAAAATGTCATACAAGAATTGCAAATATTACAGAGTAGATCCTAAGTTCCATGTGACACACCGGGTTTTGGGATTGTTGATTTCTACTGTTTTCTTGGAGGTAATATTTTCATTTTATAAAATCATAGAGTTTAAATTTCCAAAAACTGGGCCATATTTTCCTTTTTGAAAGTATTTAGCACAAATATAATCAATTTAAATTATTTGTCTGTAATGCTTAGACTTTTCTGGGGCAGTGTGTTTTGTCTGCATACATAAGAAATCAGTTCCTGTGTAATAGTAAAAACTGTGATCTGAAAAGTAGCAAGAAAAATGTACAATGTAAAGAATCACACAGGAATTTGGACATGCTTTCTTGCTGTTAGAATAACTGTGTAAAACTGGTATAGTTGACTCTGTCTTGGAATGGTTGTCAGCTGCTCTTTGTCTTAGTGGTTCAAACTCCTTTGTGCATAGGTATGTTGTGAGACTTTTCTACTGAGGATACAGTTTTGACTAAGCTATATCATTGAAGACAAAATCTTGTATGATTAGACTCGATATTGAAATTCAAAGAAGAAACAATTCAAAAGCACATGAATATTAAATCATAAACTAGGAATATAGCTAAAAACTCCCTTACTGTGTTTATGGCAGGGTATAATTGTAACTGGCCTGCAAGTACAGGTGCAGGTTGCTCTCTAAGCTGAGAATTACAGCCTGAATGGGGAATGTCACTGCATGCTTGTCCTGCTTTTCATAACCATGACTTACTGGGAAAGACTGAAATAAACCACTGAGCTGTATGGACCTTCAGTCCTACCAAGAACAGCCCTTCCTGATAAGAAAAATTAGGAGGAATAGTCTTAATGACAAGTCAGAAAGTGTTTGAGAAGAAGCTCTTTGCACACATGTATGCCTTTTTCATGAAAAAAATAATTGTGAATAATAGCATCTCATCTCTGTAAGGAAAGTATTTCTGAAAGTGACATTAAGATCTTCTGTGGAACCATCACTTTAAAATATGGTAATGCATTTTTATTACTATTATATATTATCTCTGTAAAGAGAAACTGGAGGGGAAATATTCTTAACATTTTTTTTATGTCTTAGACACTTTACAAATCCACCAAAAGATCAAGAAGTGTGATGGCAAAACACTACCTTGGTATTCTTCAGTGGAAAGTGCTGTAAAGCAAAATTCTCTAACAGCCATGCAACTTCAAGCGAGTACTGAGCCTTTTGGAGATGATTGTGTTGAGAACAGAACTATTGAAGAATGTCTGCATAGCAGTGAGGATAAAAATGTTGATGTGATAATACAGACAGGTGGGGAGCACAGCACTTCAGGCTTCTCTGATCAGGAGCAAAAGGGCTCAGGTGGAAATGTGATGGAAATATTGAATTGGGCCAGGCCTCTCCCTGCTTTACTTTCTCCAGTACAACTTTCACCACTGACTACACAGGTGAGTTTCAGGATGCATCAGACTTGGCACTGACTTGGTCTTAAAATTCCTGCAGAACTAATGATTTTATATTCCTGGGCTTTTTTTTTTTCCTACGTTAGTTACTCATGCACTGAAAGGGTCTCTGTGTGTTTAGATTCATATGAATACTATTTTTTACCTTGTAGCATACTGCCAGTGGAAGGGAGCAAAAGATAATTTTGGGAAGTATATGTGTCATGATTTAACCCCAGTCAACAACTAAGTACCACACAGCTGCTTGCTCACTTCCCCACCAGCCGGAACGCTAGGGAGAATTGGAAGAGTAGAAGTGAGAAAATATGTGGGTTGAGATAAAGGCAGTTTAATAGGTAAAGGAAAAACCACGCACACAAGCAAAGCAATGCAAGAAATTCATTCACCATTTCCCATGGGCAGGCAGGTCTTCAGCCATCCCCAGGACAACATGACTTCATTATGCATGAGTGACTTGGGAAGACAAACGTCATTACTCCAAACATATCCCACCCTTCCTTCTTCCTCTCTCTTTATATACTCAGCATGATGCCATAGCAGTATGGGATATCCCTTCAGTCATTTGGGGTCAGCTGTCCCAGTTGTCTCTTCCCAACTTCACATGCACATCCAGCACCCTCACCAGTGTGGCAGTATGAGAAACAGAAAAGGCCTTGATGCTGTGCAAGCACTGCTCAGCAATAACAAAAACATGTATATATTATCAACACTGTTTTCAGCACAACTCCAAAACATAGTCCCATAGTAGCTACTGTGAAGAAAATTAACTACCTCAGCCAAAACGAGCACAATCGCCTGTGTCTCAACTTGCTGTAATAATTTATTTTCCCAATGCTGCAGACATAGTCCCAACTCCCGTTCAAACATAAGCATAGCTTTCATAGCAAAATTGCAGAGCTTGAAAGTCAAATGCTACTCAAATGCAGTTTTCCAGTAATCTTAGAATGCAAGTAAATAGGTAAAGAAATCTTTTAACAGAGGTACTTTCCATTTGCTGTGAAAAACAATGATGGAGAAGGTCGTAATTTATGTTATCAGCCTTAATCTCTCAAAAACCACTGCATCAGGGCCACCAGTGCATTTGTTTACAGAAGGAGATCTTAAAACTGATACCAGGGTTTAGATTATTAACTTTGTTTTTTTCATTGAAGGATATGTTGTTTGGAGAAGTCACTTGTTCCAGTGATGAAGAAGGTGATTGCAGTGCTTCTGCAGCAGAAGATATTTTACAAGAAGACCAAGTTCAGCCTCTGAGTTGTAATGTAGTCAGCCTCAATGAGGAGTGCAACAGACAGAGTAAATCATGTGAGCATGGTCTTGATGCAGAAATCTCACTTAATCTGAGTTGGAATGAAAAGAACATTTGTATCAGTCCAAAGATGTCAAGCAAAGAGGAGAGAGAGGCTGAAATAAAGCTAGCTGAAGCTGCTACTTTTATTACAAACATGGAAACTAACAAAGATTGTTTGGAGAATTCTGAGAATATAGAAGCTGAGAACAGAGAAGAAGCAACAGTACACAAACTGGAAAACATTAAAGAACAGAAAAGAGATAGTGAGAACATGTACAGTGAAGAGGGAGGTTCTTTAGCTAATGTTATGTTACAAAGTTCCAAGTCTCAGAATCAGATGGAAAAAAGTAGTGAGCAAACAAAAGAGAATGTAACCTTAATCAGAGCTGTTGATAATGAGGGTAAACATGAAAATCATGGTGAATTAATGAAAGCAGAAAGAGGTGGATTATTAGAAGAGAGAGGAAGTCCCAGGAAAGTATCTGTTCCACAAAGTGTAACTCATTTGCCAGCTGAGCAATGCATTGTGCTTCAAAGTGAAGATTCTGAGGAGAAATCTGGTATGTTGATGCAGAATGAAGTTGTTGAAAACGAATCAAAAAATGTAATCAAAGTAACTAATACGGCTGGAGCTATTGAGATCTCTGCACACTCTCAGTGCTCTGAAATAAAACATGACAGTGAAGAGATACTGGAGAAACAACATGTGCAAACAGTAAAAGATGAAGTGGGCAGAGAATGTGAACCAGAGACTGTTAAAGTCTCTAGGCATTACTTACCTATATCTGCTATTGAAGGAATCAGAAATTTATTGTCAGCCTTTCCAAAAGATGAACAGTTTAAAAGTGAAAACATGAATGTAACCAGAGCTCCAACTATTGAACTAGCCATGAAATTTAACAGAGGAAGTGTTCAAAAAATAACTGAATCATCAGAGTTACTGCATAGTACAGAAAATGGAAAGTTAGTAGGCATAAAGAAGGGGGGATATATGAAAAGCAAACCACATCAGGAAGAAAATTGTAGTAATTTATCTCAAGGGAAGTCAGACTTGGGAAGTATACTTGCACTACCAAAGAGAGCATGCATTATTGATGCAGGAAGCAGTGTAGCTAAGTGTGAATCCTCTGTGTTAGATTTTACAGAAGTGAAAGGTGAAATAAAACACTCTGAAAACTTGTATAGTACATTAGAATGTGAGCAGTCCAAAACTCAAAACTTTAGGGAGTTTGAATCTCGAGAGACTCAATTCAAAGTTAATCCAGAAGATTTTGGAGAGGAAAGCAGTGAGCTGTTAGCAAGAGGAGATTCTATTGAATCTATCTTAGTAGAAAGTAATCTTACTTCTCAGGCACAGTTTGCAAAACCTCTCAATCAGTTCTTGATAACTGAAAATATTAAATGTGATGAAATAAAAGGGGAATTAAATATGGTGACTGAGACTTGCTCCAGTTCATTTAACTCTGAAAATAATGCTGTGAAGAAAAATAATTTTTCAGGGATCATCTGCCAGCCTGCTTCGGAAACGGATTATAAAAGTGGCTTGGCTTTTTCTACTCAAGAGGACTACTTGAAGAATCACTGTATAAATAATGAAGAAACAGATTCTCCTGTGCAAGTAGGAATTGGCTTGGAATCCACAAGGCCTCCTGATCTAAATTTCAGTCTTCTGAAAGTTGTTGGTTTTGTTGAAACTAATGTCACAGGAAAGGCTGCTTTTTCCTGTACATGGGAAAACAAGGGAGATACAAATTGTGTTATGGGTAGTACATTTAACTGTTCTTCAGAAAGCTTGGAAGAGAGTGCTGATATCCTGTCTGCTGAAAAAGGCAACATGTGCAAAGAACTGGGCTGCCCTGAGAGGGGATATGTACACAAAAACGAAGTGAAAATTCCAGATAAGGAGCAAACAGTAGATAAAGAACCTCAGGCATCTGTTAAATCACAGATATTGGATGCAAACTGTTATAAGAAGAATGCTTTTCTCTTCCAAAAGTTTGATTGTCAAGAATCAGGATGCAGGCCTTCTACATGGGAGGTTAGAACAGATCCTTCTAGAACTGGTTCACTGTTAGCTGGGGGAGAAAGCAAAGAACTGAATAGTTCTGAGGGATCTAGGGAAAATGCCCTTAAAAGGTGTAAAAATGATTTTGATATGTCAGAGCAGAGCAATGACTCTGAAGAGAAAGACTGTTCTATACAAAAAGTTAGGTATGTGAAATGTTCTAAATGTGGTCCCATATTCAGAAAGGAACTGAGAGCTTCCAAGAGAATTGCAGTGGGTGGTCTGGAAACTGGTGCAATTGTTGATGCTGATTACCAGCTGTGTGAACTTCATTCAGTGATGCACCCAGGAAATACTTTTACAGTTAGTCATCTAAAAGCAGGCACTATGGTGGATATAGATACATGCTGTGAACCAAACAGCTCTGGAGATACTGCAAAGGAGTGGCCAAGTGTGACTGGGGAGGGTTATCCTAAAGACTCAGCCTCTTGGAAAAGGGAGTTTATATTAGTAACCTCTGAAAATACTGAGGGTGATAATGAACTCATAGATTCTAACATTGCTGGATGCATCAATGACAGTGAGGAAAGTCTTTTAAAAGCTGTGACATCAAAAGAAAGCCCTGTGATGCCAAGTGCTTCAAAAAATAGGTTACCACTATGCAAGATGTTAACTAGATTCTCAGAAAATTGCAGGCTGACTGTAAAAACCAGTAAATTAAATACAAGAGTGTTAGCACTTGGCAATTTCTTAGAAGGAAATGATTCTGCAAAACTGCAGTCAAATGTGGAACAAGGTCTACTACGCAGTGTTGATATGGGGGTCTCAGTGTTTGAAGAATATAATAATAATCACGCCTCTTGCAACATAAGAGAAAACAACACTGATGTTATCATAGATAGTAGTAGTAGAAAAAAAATTTTCCTCAAGTATCTTCCAAATCCAGCCCTATCTGATGTTAGGTGCAGTTGTCAGACAGTTAGGCAACCCTCTGAGCCACAAAAGACAGTATTTGAGAAGTTATGCATGTTGGAATCAGATTCTTGTGCTCTCAAAAAGAGCAATAAATTTAAGTGCCAAGAGCAAGAACCATCTGAAGTCTCTACTGTTTCTACCAAGACAGCTGCCCAAGTAATGCATACCAAGCTATCAAAGAGACTGTTTAAAAGTAGAAGAAAAACAAAGACTCTCGAAGTTACTCAGCCAGTTCTTACAAATGCTGATACTTCTATGCCAACAAAATGCTCATCTGAGATGATAAATAAAATTAGACAAGAGATAGGTCCTCCTCTGCCCCCCTTGCTACTGCCTTTGATTTCCAGTCCTCCTAAAACTGCTGGTATCATGTCCCCAGTAATGTCTTCTACAGGTCAATCCTCTTTGCTCTCCCCTCTTGATGGCCTGATATCCCCACTACATGACACTCCTGTTCTTCCTCTCATTTCTCCATTAACAGATACTCCAACAGTAAAATCTGCTCTTTTATTTTCTCCTCCCTCACCCTCAGAAGTGGCAGTAGGTAGAAGGATTTGCTCCTCACCTTTGAAATTTTGTACTTCCATTCCAAAGCACGCACTTCCCGTTCCAGGAAGATTTCCTCTGTTTGCAGCTGATAGTGCTAGTCCAGGTGCTCCTCAAGAGAACTCTGTGAAAATATTGGACACTATGTATCCAGAGCTGTCTGCAAGGGCAAGGACACTAAACATTCTGAAAGGCAATATTCAACTTAACCGATGTGCTTTGTCAGAGAGCCAAAGTTTGCCAGGACCTGTGTCTCAGATATGCGGATTCAAAGCAATTGCATCTACATCAACTGCTTTTGTTAAAACTGGGAGCAATTTGAAATCTGATAGTAGCAAAGATGAAGACAAAGATGTGCAAAATCAGCAATTGTTTTCAAATTCATCAAATCGTCTTGAAAAAAGGACACTATTGCAGGTATCTATGCCAAGAAGTGCCAAGAGACTGAGGTTGGATAGTGAACCACCAAAGCTGGAGCCCAATGATACTGCTGCTATCAGAAATACTAAAAATACAATCTCTGAAATGCAGAAGGCTTTCCATGGTAAAAGCAGTGAAATTAGCGATTCATCACACAGTTCCAGTTTAGAAGCATCACTACCAATAAAGAAGGTTATTGATCCTGACTGCCAGAAAGTTTCTTTGGCATTAAAGAAAGTTGCTGAGTCCTGTTTTGACTTGTTACCAGTTATTAAAGGACACGTGTATGTTGGCAATATCTCAAAGATTCCGATAATGAGAAATGAAGAGAAAGAAGTTGTCTATGAATTTGGTATAAAAAACAAGGTAAGTAGCATAATTTTAAATTTTATGGTTTAATAATCACTTCTGTGCAGATAAAGAGTGTAAGTATGTAGTATTTGAATTCTCAATTGTTCTGGCAATCTGTAGTGCCAAAGTATAGTCTTGAAAGGTTATTAGACATCTCAATTTGTATAACATAAGAAAATATAGAACTGCACAAGAAATTATTGTTCAGTGGTGTCCAAGATGCAAAAGTGCATTTATAAGTACAGAATCACATAATATTCTGAGATGGAAGGGACCCACAAGGATCATAGAGGCCAACTCTTAAGTGTACAGGGATCGAACCCATAACCATGGCATTATTAGCACCATAATCTAACCAACTGACCTAATCTCAGGGTGTAGTACGTATGCTTTTCTAATGTATGCATAATCCACTTTATTTTTGCAGCATTTTTTTGTAGTGGATGGAGTAGAGTGGAGTGGAGTGGAAGGAGTTCCTCCAAAATGATTTTTTTTTTTAATTCAATAAGATAAAATTCATTGAATAATAATAAATAATCAATAAAATACCTTTATTATTCTACATGAGGTTATTCAAATGAATTTTATTGGAAAAATCTTCCCATAGTTTGTTTCCCAGAACTTGCTTAGCATCAGTGCTGAAAAATTTCAGTTGCCATTTTTCTCATAAATAATTTCTAGCCTACAGCAGAGCAATTCACCAACTGATACATGGCAGCATTTTGTCCTGTTACATTTTTTGTACATAATTAAGTTCTCCTTAGAAGTTGCTACCAAGATCTCAGGTCATCTTTGTTAGGAGTTGCCAAATTTGTAACTTCTTAGAAGCAAGGCTATGGCAGCTTTATGTTTCCAGGTCCAGCCAGTAGAAGGGCCAAATATGTACTCCAGATAGACACACATGCACATAACATGCAGCTAATCTTATTCCCTTCTCTGACTAATTGGAGTGAAAACCTGGTAGTGGACAATACATACATACATACATACATATATATATATAAACAGGCAGTCTGGATTCCTCCAGTAGCTAACAGTAGGCACTCAATATAACCAGTAGGTGGCTTCTGTTCTTTGCACTTGTCTTGTGCTCTGGCAAACTTGGAGACACAGAAGCACATATGTATTCCTCTAGTAGCTGGTCCAGATGTGTCTGACTCTTAGACTCCTGGTCATTCAGGTGGCTGGCTTGGACCTCCTGGTTCCTCACAACTACCTTGTGTCTGCAGGTACCCAGTCTGAACAGTGTATTCTCCAGCACTTGGCTCCTAAGCATCTCATTGTACTCCCCACTTTTAGCTCTCCCTCTAAACATCCTGTAGTAAGGTGTGTGCAATCCCAATATTCTCTTTCCTTGCATCTCTTATTGAGTCCCATGTTACTGTAGGCAGGAATATCTCATCCCCACCTCCTGCAGTATATAAGGTGGTCTGGGGAGAGACTGCTGTTAACTAATCTAGTAAGCCTCACACCTGGACAGTGGGCTGTTTGTCCTCCTGTGGCAGCTCTGGAGTACCTAAGTCAGGATGCTGCATTTGCTTTGATTAGGTTATTATCTTCTACCTGTCATTATTCTTCTCCTCATTCCCTCTACCTGTTATTATTCCTCTCCTTGTTCTTTGTTTGAGAAAGATTGTTTTAAATCACATAACTAAACAATTTATATTTAAAGAATAGCAGCCCTATTCTGGATCTGTTTAAGGCATGTTTATTCCGGGAAGTTGCTCCTCACTCCTTTTTCTTTCACTTGTTGCCTCTGATTTAGTTTTCTGCATTTTCATATATATGCAAATAATATTTTTGCAAATAAGATAGTAGTCCTTTTTATTTGTCATACTATTACAATATTGTCAATATTCTTAAGTATACAATAGTCTAACAATATTTTTTGTGTCTTATAGCATTTAGCAGAGTCCTTGCTGCATGTTATTCTCAATAAACTCAAGGGTCAGAAGAATGCCACAAATTACAACTTCAGTCAGGCTCTGTGTCGAGTCTATGCAGGAATTTGTCAACAGTTGGGAGATTTGGAAAGAGCTCGCCTTTTCTGCTATAGCCTACTTAAAGAAGGTATAGTGTGGCTTAGTGGTCTTATACCTTAAATATGCTGTATGTCTTTGCCGTAGTGTTCCAGAATTATTATGTTTGTAAAAACAAGCAAAAATTCTGTGAAAGAGTTGTTTTCCTTAGAACTTCTTTCTATAATGCAGAAGTATAGACTGTTCTAGAAGAAATTTCTGTTCTCACAGTTCCTTCACATCTGTGTTGTTGTTTGGTGGTGACCTGGGCTTTTAGTAGTTTACTTATTTTTCCAGAGAAATATTTTACTTAGGATCCTCTTTGCTTTCATTTTTGCCCCACTATCTCCAAAATGATAATATGATTCTAAAGACTTTTGTCCTTTTTGCCTGTTAGTAGCCTCTGGTGGTCTAGTGGTTAGAGTGCCTGACTCTCACCTCTGCGACCGGGGTTTGATTCCCGGCCCCCTGGGCAGGTGGAGCTCATCAGCCTTGGTAGGCAATCCACCTAAGAGAAGGTCACTCTAAACAAACCTACATCCTGGGGACCTCACTGCCACTGTCCAAGCTTTGCTCGGCCCCGGCAGATGAACCTCAGGACTAAAGGGTGGGCTCAGTTCAGCGCACACTGTGTCTCACCTAAAAAATCCACTGCGCAGGCTGGAAGGGTTAATGACCTTTCCCAAAAATCTTCGCTCGCGAAGACTGGCCATTATTATTATTTTCTTATTTTAATTAAGTCCTGATTCATAAAGTAAGTGTGATTTAAAAACATGTATTGGCTTAAAATAGTGTCTGGAGCTGGAGAATACCTTGATCAAAACTCGTGTATTTTTATGACATGTCCTCTTTAAAGTTTTTTTGCTTCCCATTATTCAAAGTCTCGCATGGTTGAGAGGGTTTTTTCCATTTTGGTTCCCTTCCTCTCCCCTGCTTCCTTTTGTTCCCAGTAACAAAGGTAATACATACATACTATCACTGTACTAAATTAAGAGTCTTGTTTTTGAAAGGACTTCACTAAGTTTGAAAGTACCATTAACATGCAGGGCTCAATAGTATACTGCTATCCATGTTTCAAATTAAAATAAAATTTGAGAGCACTGAGGAGCAAAATGCTAGAACTTGTGATTGTTTCAGTTAGTGATTATCTTTCATATAACATTCTTGTCTTTTTTCTGTTTTTTATCTTCAAAAGGTTTGTGATTTCATTTTGTTCTTAATTATCTTTTTTCTGGGGTGTCATATTGTTATTTGTTTGGGTTTTTTCTTGGTTCTTTTTTGAATTCCTGGTTTTGTATCTGTTTTTCTATCCTTCATGCAGTCCATTATAATTCTCCTTTTACTTTTTCATGTTAATAGTTTTAATACTGCACCATGTTAGAAACTCATCAGATATCTTTTCTTAGTCTAAAATAACAGTTAAATCTTTGCAGTATCTTGTTATTTTTTCTTTTTGTGTGTTCTTGCAAATATTAAACATTTCCCTTTTTTTTCCTTTCTTTTTCTGGGTAAGACTGAAACTTCAGTAGCTAAATACAGATTTTTTTAAAATGATTTTCTGTTCTATACCTTGAATTGCATAAATTCCTGTTGTCATTGTTCTGTGGTTTTAGACTTATGGGTGTGAACAGCTGTAAGCATATCTTAAAGGTCATTTAGTTTTTTTAAAATTCGTTTGTTTTTATTTGATTACAATGTACTCATTTTAGGGCTTTCTCTTTCATGTAGTTTTACATATTCGCATGAGAATTATAGCAACATTAGCTACACAATTAACAAATTGACTATAAACAGTCAGTACTACCTCATTAGACTTTTATCATCTTTTGTCTTGACAACTTGTCCATTCTTTTTGTTCTGTTCTTCTTTCAGGTATTCTGCCTTAAATGACAGTAAATAAAATATTACAGTTTTTTGGTTGTCTTTTACCCCTCCTCTGTTCCCTTTGTCTTTTCTTTTTTTTTTAAACTTTTCTTCTTTTCATGCCACTTTAACTCTTAAGTCTTTTATATCACTGAGTGAATTTTAAAAGTGTTTCAAATTCCTGGGCAGGCAATTCAAGTTGAAGCATGTAGATAATGCTAGTTCACCTACAGTCTGTGTTCTGATAGAAAAAAGTTAATTATTATGTTATGAGCAGCTTCAGAGTAGAAGAAGGTTCATCCAAGACACTAAATTCTTTATGCTCATTAAAGCTTCTTGATTTGATGTATTTTGATATGCTCTCTAGTTCTTGAAAAAAGTTCTTCCGAAAAATGTAGAAGTTATACTTAAGTGAAGAGGGAAGGCACGTTTAGCTTTTCACATTTCGTTGTTTTTTTCCAGGTATATGTATTCCAGTACTGCATTCCATACATGAAAGTAATATCTACTTTTTTACTTATTCCAATAAGTACTTATTCCAGTGTATTTGTTATTGCTTACAGTCTACACATTCATGTTTCATCTTCATATTCTGCTTTGAAGCTTTCTGCTTTGGTGTTCAGAAGCATGTGCTGGCTTCCTCTTCATGGCCTGGAACTCTGTTCTCTCTTACTGATACATGTCAGATATTTGCACTGAATTACGTTAATGAATGAGGATTCTTGAATTTTGTGGGAGTAGTGCAAATTTTTATGTCCATGGAAGTACAAATATTAATATGCATCATTCATATATGCTCACTTACAATTTGCATAATGTATAATTTCCCTGACAAAGTCTGGGAAAATTGCTAAGGAATATCATATGTGAGTTGTATGAAAGTTCTTTGCAGGCTTTTTTTTTTTTTATGTGGATTTCACAGGTGTATGAGTGCAAGGTATTAGCAAGGATTATTTTTTTCTTTGGACTAGTTCTAGTTTGATCCATTAATCAGAGTGCTCACTTGTGTCTGGGGTATATATAGGTAGGCTTTTGGAGTGCATCTTACAGTTTAATCCTAAAAGAATCCAGTTTCAATGCTCCAAGACCATTCTCCTTAGTGAATTAAAGTGAAGTAAGAAAGATAAAGGGAGACAGAGTGAAATGACAGTGGGGGAGGTGGCTTGAGGTTTGGATTGGGTTTTTTTTGCATTGGGTCTTATTTTCTTATTTAGTCTCAGGACTGAGATGTGCTAGTTTAACTCCCCTTCCTTGGGCTGCTAATGTGATGTGACTTCTATACCTTCTTTCCTAGTTATATTGCTAAAGACTGTACTGGCTTTTAATGACTGAATATTTTTTTTGTTGTTTTTAAATATTAAAATCATACTTTGTTATTTCTTTTTTTCTTAGACTTTCCAGACTCAGAAAAAATGATTTTATTTATCACAAATGTATGGCCTGACATCCTTGTCTCCCAAGGTGCAGTTAACAAAGCTATGCAATTAGTTGTCAGGCAGAGTGCAAGCAATGAGATGCTGACCTGTTTGAGTGCTTACCTCAACTGGGAACAGGTAATGTCTGCTTTCATTGTGAGTGTCAGGTTTTGTCTGCATTGGTCACTTTGCTGTCTGAATCAAAACAAGCAGCTTACCTCTAATGAAAGGTGTGAAGATCCCATGGGGTCTGTATAATTGCACAACTAATGCTGCTTCAGGCCTTTTTCCTCTAGTTGTCTAAACCCTACTAGAATACAATACTTGTCTTGTTTTCCCTGTTAAATACTAATCTCTCTACTAAACATTAAAAGTAAAGATTGTTTTTAAACTTTAACTAGCACGATCTTGGACTAGGGAATTCCCTCCATCTATGGAACTGTGACCTTGATGTTCTTTGAGATGTTTTTTTGTTTTGTTTTTCATTGTTGGATCTTTTTAATACATATTGGTTTTGTCTGTCTTTCATAGTTCCCTGTGTAATAGGTAATAATGTTTCACAATTAGTTTCAAGATGAGCCTGTCTCTTTTTACTCATGATCCTTTTGCAAAGTAGACTATAAATACCCATTTATCACCAAAAAAAGTCAGCCAGTTAATTTCAGAAGCAGTTGGCAGTACAAAACAAGTGATGGCAGAAGAAGGGTGACCAATGTTAAGGACTTTTGAGATTTGATTTCAAGTTTTTGAGCCCTTGGGCAAATAATTTCTATCAGTTTTCAGCAGGCACATATTACCATCCTGAAAGGGATGCTGCAAAGAGGAAAAATTGGACACACTTGAAATCATTAGGAACAAATTTATATCATAGAGATGGAAAGCCAGAGGTGCTTTGCTTCTGGACAAGGAGTTTGTGTAACAGGCTTGTGTGTTTGTTTGAAAGCTAGGGCCCCATATTTTTGAAAACCCCATATTAATGCTTGATTGAAGTGCTATAGTTTTGTAAATATCAAGTGAACAAAATCGTATTGATTCATAGTTCCTGGTTCCATGATTCCTATCCTGGTTCCAGCCACGACAGGGTTAATTTTTCAGTAGCCAGAAGGGGGCATGGCTAGGACCCATAGGTTGGTTATTCTGTATATTCTGTACCACCTCATGTCATTGCCCAGGTGTGGGCAAGAACTTCTCTTCCAGGGAGAAGAGCTCCCTTCTGCGTTGGCATAGCATGGTGGGGGGAGCAGTCAGTTATTGTTGTCACTAGTATTACTGCTGTTACTGTTTGATTTCTTACCTCACTGACTCATGGTTTCACCAAGAGCACTAAATTGGAGAATACCATTGCTAAACCATGACAATAGCTCACCTGTTCCCTGTCCAAACACGCTGTTCCACAACTGCCTTGAGGACTGCAGCTAGTCTTACTGCTGTCATTGTAGCCTTTATTTCTGTTTGTTTGTTTGCTTGTTTGTTTTTTAAATCTGAAACGAGCCCTGAATCTAATATGGTATCACTGGAATTACAGCCCCCATAAACCTCCTGCTTTAGAGCAGGTTTATAGTAGAGTGAGTTAAGAGGGCGTGGATTTGTATCTGCTTTTTTTATTATTAAATCACAGTTGTGATGTAGCATTAAGCTCTGGTATTCACTTATGCTGTACTGCGGTCCCTGTTTAGCAAAGAATTTGCATTCTCCATGCTATTAGTTTACAGCTTTAAATTTCATGCCAATAGAGGTGCACATAAGTATGTCTTAGTAAATGTTCTTGGAAATACTAATTCTGTGCATTCACACTACCTACTTTATTTATGGATCTCTGAAATATGAGAGCTGCTGCAGATGGGGAGAAGGACCTCAGAAATTTCTGTATTGATGATAGGATATGACATCATCCTATCTGTAAGCTCTCTTTTACTTATAGAAATACAGGGGAAAATTTCAAGTAGATTGTGATCAACAGTCTGTTATGAGAAGATTATTCTACTTATGAAAGTAAAACTCAGGTAGAATGCGTATTTATTTCTTGGTCAAAGTGTACCATTTTAGTGACTTATACCATGGCAGAACTTGCCTTATTATATGAGAAAATATACTGAGAAAATCTGCCAAGCAGCCACTCTGTTCATGTGATAAACCTAGGGTTTTTTTCTTGATACTTCAGACATTCAGAGAATGTTTGTTTTTAAATTTCCTTCTTCCCCTAGCTATTTTATTAGCAGAATTGTTTCATATGGCATGTTTTTAGTTATTACTACCTCAACTATTGAAAGTACTTGCTTGGAAATTAGCCCCTAATGAAGAATAAACAGTAGCAAATTTTAAAATTATTTAGAAAGCGAGAAGTATTAGTCTTCTTGCATTGGAAAAAATACTCTTCTGACCTTAAAGCTGCATTGAGAGAAACAAAAATCCCCAACTTGTAGGAGATAAGAGAGTGGGCATGAAGTCTGTGGATTTTGCTGTTTGAGGGGGTTTTTTCCCAACTCCCCTTTTAGTAGAAGCGTCACAAAAATACCGAGTACTTGAAGGTTTTGTACTCTATTTGTTTATGTTAATTCAAACCAAAAGTTGGATTTATGGTGTAAGATGTTTTGTACCATCACTATCAAATATATGTAAAGAGTTTGGTTCTGGGCTGGTAACTTTTCATGCACTAAGGTGATTACCTTCTAAAATTCCAGAGTTCCTCTTTAGATGCTGGTATTATGGTCTCAAACCTGCTTTTAGAAATGCAGTCATGTACAAAAGTAGAATTTCAATTGAGTGAGCACTATGGAGAAGATCTGAGTGAAGATGCTTGGCAGTACATATTTGCTATTGATCTACTCTGCTCTCACCTGAAGTGGGATTGGACACATGACAATGTTATAAGGTATTGTGGCAAGCAGTTCTTTCAAGTGTTTTCCTGTATGTGGTTTTTCTGTGGTTTGGTTTTGGTGGTGATTTTTTTTCCCCCAAATTCACTATGACTTAGCTTTTAAAGTAATAAAATATTGCATACATATTTAGAAATGAGGGTGTTTTAACCTGATGAGACCTAGACTCTTGTGTTTGTGTGCCTTATTTTAAGATAGAATGAATGATCAATGAGGAAAGGTAGGATTTTATAGTACTGTTCCAAGAAATGAACCCTGTTTGAGCCATTCTAGTAAAGCATTGCTTTCAAAATAGCTCTATGTGGATGATTGCGAAAGATTTTGAGATGAATTGTCTGTCAGTGAGGCAAAATTATTGTCTTCCTCCAAAATTACTTGTTGAATTCCTCTCCCCCCATCAGAAAAAAATGAGAGTGAAACTTCTGATATGTAAATAGCACTCCTTCAGTGCTGAAAGTGAAATGTACCCATATGCGTTAGTGTACTATCCTGATTTCAGTTTGATTTTAATTCTAAAATCATTAAAATAGCTAGATTCAATGTCTTGAATTTTCTTTGAACCTGTAATCCAGTACCTGGACTGCTACCATACTTAACCTGCTTTGAAATATTTCATTTTGACACTTACACTGATCTGACAGCCCTGATTTTCTAGAGGTTTCATAATGTAGTGGACATTTCTTTATCTGACATAACATAATAATTGATTATAAAGTAAATGGAAATAACTTACAATCATCGTTGTCTTTTATACAAGTTCCATTACTTTCAAATAGTAAAGAAGTTGTTTTTGGTGAAATACTTTTAAATTAGTACAAATTAGCTTCAGTATGTCAGTTTAATTAAAGCCATACAGAGTTGATTGTGTGGAGTTGTGCTGGTAATAGGTAACTAGGTCTATTGGCATCCTTTTAAAGATTAAAAAAGTCTTGGGTACTTTTATGTTTAAAAACAAGCATCAGATCCTACTTGTAACATACAAACTGACTTTTTAGTCATATAAGAAACTTACATAACATTTCAGTATGACATTTGGAAGTAACACAATTTCATATATATCTATGAAGTTAGTCTACCTACAGTCAGTAGAGATGCAAAATGTTGCAGGGAAATGAATAGAAGATGAATGTGAATCCTATCCTGAACAGGAACGATTCCATCCGAAAGTTAGCTTTGATTGTTTGGGTTTAAAACCTTCTTTACATTACTCAGTTTTGTGGATGCTTGGAGTGTTATGAGTTTCCCTAGAAGGTGAAGTAAAGATGCAAGTGGAGCTATGGAAATATGTGGTAAACAAAAGAACCATTTGCCTTCATTATTGTATGAATACTGTACCATCCCTTCATGCACTATCAGATTTTCAAATTCATTTGTCTTTCATAGCAAAGTGCTTTGGCCTTCTATGGATAATTGGGTAAAGAAGAGAAAGGGGCAGGAAACTGCTCAGTCCATTCGTGATAGTGTTATAGCACTGACACTCAGGCTAATTGGTAAGTAATCCAAATTCTTGGTTGAACTTCTGCTTTGTATAACTATGTCCTTTGAAAGTGTCAGTCTGCCTGGAAAGTGAGTTGATGTATTTTTGCATTTTACTGCATCTTTATGCAGATATTTTCTGTTTATCAGCCTGTGGAAATCAGGTACTTAAGTCTTGACAGATGTTACTCTGATTCATGATAACAAATACCAACATCTTTTATGTATTTAAAATTAAATCATCTGTAGCTACATATATAGAATCATAGAAATCCTGAATTGGAATGGACCCACTCGGATCATCAAAGTCCAACTCCTGACCCTGCAGAGGGACAGCCCCAGGAATCACACCATATGCCTGAGCATTGTCAAAATGCTTCTTGAACCACTCTCTGAGTGAAAAACCTTTTCCTAATAGCTAACCTAAACCTCCCCTGACACAGCTTCATGCCATATGGTTTATCGCAAAGTGTATAAAAATAAGGTTTTATATGCAACATAATACCATAGTAATTTTAAGTTATATTAATTTATTTGGGATCTAGAAGGCATTTGAGGTACATAGATATAGTTTGAGTTTCAATAAATATTTTCCACATGTAAGCTATATAATATTGTTTGTTAAACAAAAATTGCATTCTTTATGACTTTAACATTTAAAAACTGCAAACCTGTGGGAGTTGGATCAATCTGATGAAAAATGCCTTGGGGTCTTTAGTTACAAAAGGAATAGGACAACTCTTGTTCCCAAGACAACATGGTAACAAGAATGACTATTTTTTGTAATTGAAATTTGTATTTTCTGTCGATACTTCAACAATCAGGAAGTCTACAAGTTAGGAAGTTGACTGTCTAAATAGTCAGATACATAATAACCCTTTTTTTCTTTCAGGTCGATTGGGCCAAATAGGTTTGAAGGAAGGATATCTTGCTGCAGTGAAGAATATTAGTTCTGTAATTGGACTGTTTGTACAGCATGCAAAAGAGGAAGGTAATGTTTATTTTGAGGAACTTTAGTGTAGTACCTGCAATGTGAAGTTTTGCCAATGCAAGTATATAACACAAATTGAGACACATATGCCAAAACAGCGTGGTTTTGCAGTTTATGTTAGTGCATAATAGGTCAAATTTTTCAGTTTGAGTCCCTTTCTCTTCCAAAGTTAATGAAGTATTAACAGTATTACCTTCTGTTTGAGACAGAGAACAATTCGGAGATGGTTTTAGCCACCTTGGAATTAGACTGTTTCATGTAAGAGCCTATTAGCTACATTAGAGAACTTAAAGGGTGATCTTAACTTGAGCAGCAATAGCTGATTTTTTACCTGAGCAATTCATGCTGAAGCTTACTGCTAGCAAGATTGTTGTATGGGAGAAAGACAGCCCAGATTCTTGACTGAGACAAAGCAAGGCAGTTAGGGCAGCAGAGATCGACATTGCTAAGTTATTCTGGATGTCAAGTACATTTTGCAGTGAAGCACTGGCTGATGTTAGGGAGCTGTTTTGAGCCACCTGTATAGCTTCTCTTCCTTGCAATCTCAGGTTTTTCCAAGTAAGTGGTATATGTCTGTATCTGTTTCAGACTCAGTGTCAACCTGACTGTTTTCATAAGTCTGATCACTCTTAACTGGAGTAAAATCACTAGATACTCAATTCCTTTATGCCCTCTGAATGCTGAAAACTTGCTGAATTGAGAAGACTGGAAAGTGCTAGTATAAAATGTTATGGAATTTGTGTGTAGGTTGTCATCTTGCTACATTCTGGTTTTAGACATCACAGTTGTTGATGTGTTTTATTTCCAGTTCTTGAACTAATAGTTTCTTTAGATTCAGAATTCCCAAAAACATTCTTGCATATCAAAGTTTCTATGAGCTGATTTGTGTTAACTTTTTGCAGATGTTCCCTGGGGTGTGCAGCTGGCAGCCATATATTCACTGTGTGACTTGGGTTCAAGCAATCCAGAAGGTATTGTTGAGGCCGTCCATGCTTGGAGAGCAACAGTTCTTAACAACATCCCTTCTGCTGTCATAAGTGGCATAGCTGAAATCACTTCTCTATGTGAAATGGAGCTAAACTAAAATCTAGGGAAGTGGACTGATCTAAAGGAAGACGTGCCTAACCAACTAAGCAGTAGTTGGTTCCAGTTAAAAACTGTATTAATACAAAGTGGTGTGTCTTCTTGTATTTCATGTTTTTAAACAGAATGTCTGATTATGCAAAGCAAGCTCAAGTATTTTACTTGGCTTTTCTGTTTGAGGGAAGAGTTTTTAAAAAATAAATTAAAATACTTACTTTTCAGTGATCTGAAAACCAGTGCATCTTCACCTTCTGAGGTATTTCTGGTTTGATGTCAATAAAAATCAGTAATACTTTTCATTCTTTTCCTTCCATCAATTTGGAGTATGGCTATTTGACACAACAGAAAATTCAGCCTGACTTGGAAACCTAACTCTATTATTTTGTAATCTATTTATAAAGTAACCATTCAGATAGCAGAACTTTGCCCAGATTCTGCTTTATTTTGCATGGGTAATCTCATAAACTTGACTTAAAATATCCGTGCAAAACAGGTAGGAATTGACTTTTTCTATAGCAATCATGTATAGAATAACAGAGATATTAAATCTCTCAGCTTGTATATATGGTGTATTCTAGTGTGTCTCACATTTGGTATTGCTCCACTTGGGAAATTTTGTGTATGTAAATAGAGATTTGGTTCAAAAAAAGTTCATGTTTGTAATGGTAGTTTACTAGACTCTGTTTTTGTATCTTTCATAATAAAAGAAAAAAACACTCTTGTGTTTTTGTTGATCTGTTTAAATAACACAGAATTAACTGTTATTTCTAGCTAATATAGACACTACTTTGGGGGGCAGGCAGTAATTATCTGATGAGGTAATTTCACTGAATGAATTCCCCATAACTGCAGTTCTGGCCACTGGAAAGAGAGTATATTGTATCTCTCCAAAATTTACTGGTATGCTTTGAGGGCTTGGGAGGTAGCTTAAAAAAAACATTGAAAACATCTATTTTCACTCTGTGATTGTAACCAAGTGAAGGGGTGAGCTTTGCTAATGCAGGTTCTCAATTGTAGTGGGTTTGTGCCCAGTTCAGAAGTTCAGTTTCAGAAATTCACACACAAATGCATACACCCCAAATTATCTCCCCCTTGTCAGTACCCACAATTTTAACTGTTTTTCACATAATGCAGAAAAGCAATAGGATATTTTTTATGCAAGGATCTATTTAATTCTGCTTCAAGAACAGTAATTTTACTCAACATGCTGTAGTCTTGGCCTCTGTAGTCTTGTAAATATGTTTTCTGCCATGACTAAAGGCCACAGATTTTGTACCAACCTGGCAGTGCATGGTTTCAGGACTGTCCTGGCCTGTGCTGGTTGTAATTTGTAAATTTGTCAAGTGATTACCACCTCATCTGTGTTAGCTTCAGTTCTGGGAATATCCCATATGGTGAAAGTCTGACATAGCTAAGTAGCCAGTGCATAACCAACAGCCCTTTGTGTTAAGAGAGGTCAAACTGCAACTTTCAAACTTTAGCTGGAAAGGAGTGAAAAGGGAGAAGGTTGAGGTGACAAAACTTACAAACACAGCCCATTTCAGGTGGTGTAGAAATACATTAGGGAGTTTTCTCATCTTTTAAGCAAAAAAGCCAGACAAGAATGGTGGTAGTACTGCATTAAATTGAGTATGTTGAGGGTAATTTCTTAAGCCAGGTGATAGATCAGAAAAGAACTTTCTAAGGATGTTTTCCTTAAAAGAGCTTTCAATTCCCATATGTAAGAAACAAGGCAGGAAAAGGAGAAGACCAGCACAGCTGAGTAAGGACCTCCAGCCAAATGAAAGTGTAAGAAGAAAATGCACAGGCAGTGGAACAAGGGACATGTATTGTGGGGAGAATACAGGGATGCTGCCTGGATGTGTAGGGATAGGATCAGGAAAGCTAAGGGACAGCTGGAGCTGAATTTGGCATGGGATGTGAAGAATAAGAATGGCTTTTGCAGGTATGTTGATCAGAAAAGGAATATTAAAGAAAATGTTCACACTGTGGTAAATAAGACAGGAGAGCTACTGACAATCAACATGGAGAAGGCTGGGGTGCTAAAAAATTTTTTTACGTCAGTTTTCAGCAGTAATCCCTCTTCCAACCCCAAACTTCAAGGCAGGGTTAGAGGAAGATTACTTGAGGAACCTGAACATAAATAGGTCCATGGGACTTGATGAGATACATCCCATGGTCTTGAGAGAATCATATTTGGAAAGTTAGGGCAGTCAGGTAAAGACCCCAGTGACTGAAAACAGGGAAACATCACATCCATTATAAAAAGAGTGAAAAGGAAGACCCTCAGAACTACAGACCAGTCAGTCTCACTTCTGTGCCTGGTCAAATCCTGGAGAAGTTCTTCCTAGGAGACATGTTGAAACATACAGTATACAGGGAGGTGATTAGAGACAGCCAATATGGCTTCACCAAGGGCAAATCATGCTTCAGCGGAGAAGGGAATAACTACAGATGTGATTTACCTTGACTTCTGCAAGGCCTTTGATATGGCCCCCACAACAACTTGTTGCTAAATTGGAGAGAGATGGGTTTAACAGATGGACTGGTAGATGAATAAAGAACTGGCTAGATGACTACATCCAAAGAGTTATAGTCAAAGACTCAATGTCCAACTGGCAACAAGTAATAAGTGGTATCCCACAGGGACTGTACTGAGACCAACAGTGCTTAACACCTTCATGAATAACACAGGCAGTGGGATTAAGTGCACCCTCAGCAAGTGTGCTGATTACACCAAGATGAGTTGTGCAATTGATTCTCTGGAGGGAAGGGATGCCATCCAGAGGGACCTTCATAGGCTTCAGGAGTGAGCCTGTGTGAACCTTATGAAGTTCAACAAGGACAAGTGCAAGGTCCTGCAAGGGTGTTGGCAAATCTCCAATATCGATACAGACTGGAATATTCAGAGCAGCCCTATGGATAAGGACTCAGGGATATTGGTGGGTAACAAATTAGGTAAGAGTGGGCAATGTGCACTTTCAGCCCAGAAAGCCATTCACATCCTGGGCTTCATCAAAAAAATTGTGGCCAGCAGGTCAAGGGAGGTGATTTTCGCACTCAGCTCTAGTGAGACCCCACTTGGAGTACTGCATCCAGCTCTGGGGTCCTCAGCACAAGAAAGACATAGAGACCTGTTAAAGCAGGTCCAGAGGAGGACCACAAAGATGATCGGAGGGCTGGAGCACCTTTCCTATGAGGAAGAGCTGAGAGAGTTGTTCAGCCTGGAGAAGGCTCTAGGAAGACCTTGTAGCAGCCTTTCATTATACAGGAAAGAAGAAGAGAGTCTCTTTGTTTACACCTGTAGTGACATGTCAAGGGGTAATGGTTTTAAACTGAGAGTAGATTTAGATTGGATACAAGGAAGTCAATATTTATGATAAGAGTGGTGAGACACTGGAACAGGTTACCCAGAGAAGTTGTGGATGCCCCCTTGTTGGAAGTTTTCAAGGTCAGGTTGGATGAGGCTTGAGCAACTTGGTCTAATGAAAGATGTCCCTGCCCATGGCAAGGGAGGTTGAATTAGATGATCTCGATCCCTCTCAACTCAATTCTTTCTATTACTCTACAAGTCTCTTCTATGATTTGAATTTGGATAAGAGTTTAGGGTTAGAAGGTTTAGGGTTTGGCTGAGGAACAGGGATTAGGATTAGGATTAGTGTTAAGGTTAGGGGAAAACATATAAAATCATTGCTTTTGAAACACAGAAACACAGGTTGTGGTTATTTGACCTGACTGGAAATTGCCCAGTTTCCAGCGGAGGCGGAAGGGTGAGGGGAATGGGGAAGTAGAGGAGATTAATTCAGAGAGGAAATAACCGATTACAGTTTGTGGTATCAAGTCTAGAAAAGAGCTATATAAGTAACAGAAAATATATAAAACCCCTCAGTAATGAGAGATCTGAGAAGGCTAATATAGTATTCAAATGGAAATGGATATTTGAAAATTCCCTAGAAATGCCACAGCACTGAAGAACTTGCCATTTATTTTCTTCTTTTTTTTTCTTATTTTCTGCTTTTAAAGTTATAGCAAGTTCATATTGCCTAGACTGACTTGTTTATTTTGTAATTGTTATTTGCATATAAATGATTCACTGGAATATGAAGCATGAAAAGAGTGTTGATATTAATCTGAGTATACGTTCTTTTGTCAGCTTTCAACACATTGCCTAAGTAAAATTTTAAAAGTACACTTATACAAATTCTTGTACTGCATCTCTTCCCTGATTACCTAGTCCTTTTTAATTAAGTGCTTAAGCATAAGATAGAGGTTTCTAAATGGATAACAGATATAAATAATATAACTGAGCAAATTAAAGAAGACACAATGAAGATCTACAGCATAGCTAACTAGACAAATTTAAAATAAAGTTTTGCAGTGTTAACTTCTATCTCTCTCACTAGAAACAGAGTTGAAACACACCTCATTCTATTCTACTTTTTGTGAAGCCATCAGTATTTTAAAAATATTTCTAAGCTTGATGGCTAAAAACTAAGATGGTAGAGTCAGGCAAACAGCCTACATTTTCTTCCTACCCTCAGTACTCCAGAAAGGAAATTCTCACCACTCCAAAAGAAGTGCTCTGTTGACATCCATCTGGTAGAACACAGAGGAGGTAGATAGGATTGATAAGCAGGCAAGGCTAAACCATGACTGTTTCAACTTAAAATAGGTGGGGGAAAATAAACATGTATTAGTGTAGAAAAGTCTAGGCCATTTAATTTATTCTCAGTGTTCTCTGTTGAGAAGTCACCCTGAACTCAAGCAACAGCATTGAGCACTGGAGTGCCATAGTTGGGTTCTGAAAACAAAAACTAGAAGGTTTTTTAGTATATTTATAAAAAAAATGGAAAAGTAGTATCTTCAGAAAACTTTGAAACTATTCAGTTCCTTAAGTTATCTGTGTTCTTGTAAGAGCTGACATAAGAAAGAAACATCAACAACGGTCATGGAATTGCTTTCACTGGCTATCAGCTGGTAAGGACTGCTGTGTGAATGTTGGGATACACCACTAGCAGAAATGACAGTGAATAGAGTAAAAATAATTGACAGGCAAAGAAAGGAAAGGAGAGAAAGTTACCTTTGAAGACCTCAACTCAGCTTAAATTGGAAGTTGAGATCCTGAAAGAAATCAAGATGTTAAATGTAAATAAAGGTTAATGCAGGAAGGGGTTAACGTAGTAGGTGACCTACCGGTTATCTCTCAAGATTAAGACTATAAAATTGTTGTTATAGTTCTTCCCAGGTATTCCTTCAATTTGGGCAAGAAAAATCCAGTGGGCTGACCATCTAGTTCCTCCTCATTCAACTCTGACTTCCCAAGAATTTCCAAATCACCCCTCTAGGAATAATTTTTTCCACTGTTGCACTTGCTACTATCTTACCTAACCTCCCCTTCTTCTGCTATACCTTTCAGTGATCTCCTGTACTCCAGTGTGGCCATATCTCACCCAGGGGTCTACCAATTAAAGACCAGAGTGATACAGAACCATTTCTGTCGTCCTGGAGACCAATGATGCTTCTCAAATTCAACAACAGCAGTCAACAGAAATGGGAATTTACAAAAGATGACGATGTAATGTATTCACATTATGTGAATACATTGTGTGACAGACTTGACAGTAAACTATCATCTTGTTAGAATGACTTTTATCAATGAAGTGCTATACTGAAAAATACAGTATTTCCAAACCACAAAACTGACTTTATTATTTAAATATTTGAATTAGGATTGATTCTGCCTAACCCTTTGTGATGGATGCACCCCTTAACCAAACCTTTGGTACAGGCTCAAAAGGAGGTAAAGGCTTGAGACATAGTCAGGCCAAGAACACCTCCAGGAAACCCCCAAGTGAGCATATAGTGATCCAGCGAGCAATGATGCACATGAGCTTGTAACACCAATCCTGTGATTAACACACAGAAGGTGGGTTTTCCAAGACTTCTTTACCTAGGAACAAAGACAGTTGCAAGTACAAGGAGTTTTATGCATACCTTTCCCATCACATGGAATTTGACAACAAGCCAATCACTTTATTCCATAAATATGACAGCCTGAGTGATTCTCCTTTGGGGTCCCTACTAGTCAGCATGTCTGCATGGTGCAATCTCCCCTTGAGCTGGGACACCTCTCAAGGTTGCTCCTTGAAGCAGAGAAGCTTTTCTACTAATGACAGATTGTCAGATGAGTCCAATTCGAATTCTCTCTAAATTGCAACTGGACTGCACACTAGTGACTCTTCCATTGAGCTGGGATGCCTCTCAAGGTTTGAGATTCCTTTACCTGAAGCAGAGAGACCCTTTATTCGCAACAGATACTCAGTAAGTTGCTGATAACATGCTGAAATAATACTAATGAAATCCATGTAGTTAATTCCTTTAGGTATAACCTGTTATCCAACTCTGAGACTAAGACCGGACCTAGCTACACATAAGCTCTATCAGGACTACAGAAAGGCAGAGAATCTACTCTGAACCTTGTCAGTCAACACGAGGGTCTTCCTCACTCCTTCTCGTCTTTGGTCTCAGTGTAAATCATTCTAAAATTATTCAAATTCGAATCTTTTTAGTATGTTTCATCCATGATAGAATGAAACTTGTCACTGAGTTTCGTTAAATCATGTTTATTAAGCCCACTTTGCTAAAACCTTTCATGGTGATTCTTTGAGTGACCATAAATCACACATTTGTGACAAACTGGTGTAGTTGGCAGGATCCTAAATCAGAATTTGTTACATCCTTCTGCACTGGAGTGGATTCTCTAGAAAAATATTCGGCTGATTTACATGAAGTGCACAGGACCTGGGAGCAACGCAACCAGACAATAACCTCTCCAGAAACCGTTGCTGTATATGTCAGATAGAGTTACATAGACCTAAGGTTTTCTTTTAATTTTCTTCATAATGACTGTATTGAAAGACAGCATCAAGACATGTGTGCAGCATCCCTAGAGTACTTCAAAATCAAACGAAAGAAATTTAGCTGACCTAAACTGCCGTGTGACAAAAGAACACTGGACAATCCTGAGGAACCAAAAAGAACAACACTAGAAAACCGTCTCTGCAAATGCTGTAGTTTTCAAGGACTGCGAGGAACCAAGACCATAAGGCAAAGGGCACCGTCTTCTATAGGAAACAGCCATGCTGCACGCTAACGAGTAAAGCAAGGTTTTCCTTGAACTATTCCAGCCTCTGCATAAAACCCTGCACATCATGCACTAAGCTGAAATAATGCCAGGCAAATGGAGCCTGTCTGCATGAGCTGCCCAGTCTGATAGAGAATGCCTTTCTCTAAACACTTGCGGTTGGCCAGCCCTTTCTGGGTGGCCTGGCTAACAACGGGTAAGTGGAAAGGCCCGAGAGAAAGCTTTGTTTGCTCCGCTTTCTTACACTGATTGTTGCTTTCCTACCTCACCGTGGCTTCATGTTGGGCATAGTTCTGCACCCAAGGGTAGTGGGGGAGCCTGTCCCCTGCCATGGGCTGATGGTGTCTGCTATAAGGGGCCCCTTGGATTTGAGGAAGAAAATTCTTTGAGACATCGGGAGCGGGACCAATACAGATGCATTTAGACATATGTGCTGGGAGTGCCGAGAGGTTTTGCTTTGAGGTGAGCTTTTCAGCTTTGCCTACGAGAACCGCTACTACAGAGAGAAGTCGCCAGCCAGTGCAAGGCCGCAGGGGCCTGCCCGCCGCCGCCGCGCATCCAAAATCGTCTGCACTGCCCTCTGCCTGCGAGGAACTGTTCCGCCAGAGGACTCTCCCTCTCTGACCGCCTTCTGACCGGGCCCGCCCCCAGCCGTGCCGTCAGCGGCGGGTGGTGCTGTCGCAGCGAGCGGGGGGGGGGGTCGCGCCGCCATGCGATTTCGGGCAAAGATTGTGGATCTCGCCTGCCTCAACAACTTCAGCCGTGAGTATGGCAGGTCAGGCTGAAGGGCGGCAATGCCTTGCTAAGCGGCTGGCTTCGACTTTCCCGGGCAAAGGGGAGAGGAAGGGAGGTGAGGACCGGGCCGCGGGCCCAGAGGCCTTTCCTGGGAGGAGGCAGCATGAGGCGCTTTCATTTGCCCCGAGGTGTTTGGAAGTTTCCGCAGCAGCACGAGCTGCGTTTTTGGAGACTGAGGGTTTCTCCCCTGTCCCGCAGGGACCGGGGTGTGTTGAGCGGTCACCTCTGTAACGTCCCCCTCCCTCCCTCCGGCAGGTGTAATTAACACAATCTCCAAGTTAACCAAGACGTGCACCCTGCGCCTTACTGTCTGCAAGTTGTATTTCATCCTCTCCGATAAAGTAGCAAATGGAGGCGCGAGTATGTGGTGTGAGCTGTGCCAGGTGAGCCCAGGGAAGTTCAGAAATCACATGGTGTTGAAAACCAGAGCATGCAGTTGGGTTTGGTGTATGAGGCATTTCTTGCAGCCCTCACCTGAGGTGTGCCAGATCTCTTAAGGCCTGTCTGGTCACAGGCGTTTCAGGTTAGATATCCTCTTTATCTCAATTGTCACTTCAACTGTAAAGCTTTGGTGTGTGCTGGCCCATAAGGGCCTGCCCAAAACTGGAAACAGGAAAGCATAACACTGTTTTGTAGACTGATACGTGTTAGAGGAGAAAACAAATAGATTTAGAGCCTGAAGCAATGAGCCTTCATGTTTATGCAGTCTGTTTTGATTCCAGCAGATGATGCCTGGTAGAGGAGAGTTTCCTGTTGTTCCTGTGCAGTTCTAGGCTTAAGGTCTGATGGATAAAACTTGCCCCTCTCATTTGCTTTATTTTATTTCCCAACTTTCAAAAATTGTAGGGGAATTTCTTCGACGAATTTCAGATGGAAGGAGTAGCTGCAGAGCACAATGAAATCTATTTAGAGTTGGTGCCTGAGAACCTGTCAAGAGCATTAAAAACTGCCCACAGTGCTAAGGCAGTGAAGATCAAGTTGACTAATAAACACTGTCCTTGTCTCAGAGTTGCTGTGGAGTTAGTAAGTGCAACCATGCTTTTATGTTCATTATTAAGAAAAATTAATTCTTTAAAATTGTGCTTTTCCTAAGATCAAATGATAATCTTTAGTGTAATTCTAGAAAACTGAAAAAAATTGTGTTATTTTCCGTTTCACTAGCCTTTCTTGCCATTATGGTTGGTAGCACACAGAACCAGCTTTGTATTTTCCAAAAGGCAAGAGGGAGGAAGAATGAAAGCTATGTGATTGAAACAACTTTTTCTAATGTCTTCTTCTTTCCATTACTTCATTCTCTATATCTTCTGTGGATTATTGCCTTTTTATTGAAGCCATTAGGTTTCAGTGTAGTGTTTGGCTCTAGTGTTTTGCATTTGATTATCCTGACATTGCATTTCAAACTGCTGTCTTCTGATTTTTTTTGTTGTTGTTGGTAACACCACTGATTCACGTCTTCAGGTCTAAGGATATCTTTTATATATATATATGTATATATATGTATATATATATATGTATATATATATACTTATGCATGATACCTCAGAAACCTTTCCTCATTCAAAAGGGAAGTCCACTTTAGAGCATATTGAGAGGAACTTAGGGAAAACTGGAACTGACGTCTGGGACATGTAGTTACTGCCCACAGTGGGTCTGAAAGCTTTAAATTTGGAATTCAAGTCCTGTTTTTAACTGCAAGAGCATCCTCTCTTTCCCTCAAGCCATCCTTATCAAGCAGCAGTAGGATTGTGACACATGACATTCCTGTGGGGGTTATTCCCAGAAGAATATGGAATGACTTCAGAGAGCCCACTATGCCAGACTTTGATGTAAGCCTCTGTTTTTATATTCCGTATGGAAAGGGGAGGTTGCAATTGGAATGCTACTGCTACAGAGTATACTGCTGGGATTTGGAAAGGAGTTGAAAAGAAAGAGGGAAGACTGGAGGCTACAGATTTGGAGAGGGGTGGAACATGGCTTCTGTATTGACAAGAGAGTCCAGAACTTGTGAAAACAGAGCAGATAGTTACCAGTTTTTTCTGTGATATTCAGAGTGGAGGAAGGGAGGAGCAAAGGACTTGCATGTCTTTAAAGTGGAGCGTCTCTAAACCACACAGTTTTAGGCTGTTTCAGCTGTTTCTGCACCAAATGGCCCAAATAATCTGTTCTTTCTGAAATTCATGGCCTACCTGGCAGAGTTAGAGATACGTGTGTTTCCTCCTTTTAGGTTTTTAGATATCATCTCTATATCTTTTGTGACTTTTAGCAGAGTTGCAAGGAAAGGTCTTTGTGCAAATGTGCTCCTGTTTGAGGTTGTGGATGCCTGTTACCTCTAAGCTAAGAGTATTTAAATTTTGAAGACATACAACTGAGTAGAAACTTGAAGAATTTTGTTCTGTTATTTCAGATTTACACTGCTGCAGTTCCAGAAATGAATGCAGTATCATGGGAATCTTTTTCTTTCCTTTTTGGCTATAGTTATTAACTACTTAGTTACACAGATGTGTACTTTCATGTGAGCATCTGACCTGCAAAAACCTGTCTCTTTTTTGAACACGGATTTGGAACATTATGTCTGAGGCAATTGCTAGAGTGCAGTTGCCTGTTGGTATAATGGGAAAGAGTTCCTCCATTCTGAGACATTTGCTGATTTCAGATAAATATTGTGCATCCTACAAGCCATAGATAATTCAGTCCAAACTAAGATAGAATTGAAAGGAAAAATAAATGTGTCACATCCCAGACACACATGAAAAACTTGTGCAAATGAAGTTCTTATGTCTTCCTAGGTCAGTATTTACCTACCAGTGCTGAAAATAATGAAAAGTGTTGTGGAAAGAATGAAGAATCTCAGCAATTTCATTGTAAGTTAAAGCACTTCAAATATGTATGCTACAGACCTTACTTCAACAGGGACATAACATTTCACTGTTGCCTAAACTGGTGACACCACATTATATCTTATTTTGGGATGAGACAGACATTGAAATCAAGGCACCTGAAGACTGTGTGAAGTTGAAGAGAATGATGGGATTTATTTTAGGATTTACACTGAAGAGCTTCGCAGAAAGTGATACTCTTTGTACTGAACTCTTGAAAGAACATGGCATTGTGTTGCTACAAGCCACTCTTTGTAGCTGATAAGAATTTACAGTCCTTCAGGAAGCTGGCTAGAGACTTTACAGGTGACTTCATTAAAGAAATGAAGAGTGAGTCTTGGGTTAGGTGTCTGTGTGAATGAACTTTAGGTAAACTTGAGGTAGGATTTAAAGGAAATTCTGCTAATAGCTCCTGGATGACAGACTGTGCTTTAGGCTCTGACATGGTGGGTTTCCAGTCTCCTCTGGGTTTCTGGAGTCCTGGAGTGCCTTCCATCGAAAGAACCCCTCTGCAGTTGGACATAAAAAGGCTTGGGGTTTTTTATTTAGTTGTTTTTGCTCACAGTCACCAGAATTGATTAACATGGAACTTAGTAAGGGTAGAGCTTTGAAATAGTTTTGTTTTGGTGCTGTTTATACCAGTTTTGATAAATAGGGCATTTTCTGTTAACTGACAATTCCTGAAATTGGGACAGTCTCAGTTTTCCAGACTTGGAAGAGTTGAGAGATTACCCTGGGTTTCTGGCAGTTTTGCAAGTGGCAGTCATCCTGAAAATACACTTGAAACTCTTTTTCTTTATCAGTCTTTTGGGGGACTTAATTTTTGCTTTCTTCCCCCATGTCCTCAGTGGAAATGCCTACACAAAATTAAGCACAGGGCTTTGTTTCCAGAGCTAAGGATCTTTTCTCACATTGGATAGCTGTATGATGGGATTGAATTTGGTGTTCAGCAGCACTCAGAAGAGGTAGTGTATCAACACTGGGCATACCCACTTTACTAAGTGCCTTGCTTTCATGTTATTAAAGAACAAAAACATCAGTTATCACAATTCTTTTTGCTAGATGCATCCTGGTAATAAAACTGGTCAAGATCAGTGCTGCAAAATGGATTTTTAGAAGCAATTTCAGATAGTTGGCCCATTGTTTGGGAGCTTGGCCTCTCCATTCTATAGGAGATTCTGGTTGTGATGCATCTTTTTAAAAATTATTGAGAATTCTTCTAATCACAGAAATGAAGTGCTTAGTTATGCTTTAGGAATCCTCTGATCTGCTTGGGATTTGCGTAAGGTCATGTGTAGTCTCCTTCTGGCTGGACACTTGGTTAGGATGGAATTTGAAAGCTTTCAGCACTCTTCCAGGATTTCTAGTGGTTCAGTCCTTCTTAGAATTACTGGTCTGATGCAGTGGTTGTCTTTAAGTTTTCTAAAGCAGCTCTGTAACTGCATGTCAACTCCTGGTGCATCCCATATTCTGTGAATGTCATACAGACTGTGAGGTGCTTTTCTATTTGTGGAGGAGCTGAATGGAAATGCAGGAATCCTTGCGTTTCTTCAGATTCAGCTTCTCATTTCTAAAGCCTTTTTCTCAGCACATGAATTTCCCAAAGTGAATACTTGTTCTAAAAGTACTGGAGAGCAAGTAAATTTCTTTCTTTTCATAATTTCGGAGAGTTTGGTCTCGGATAATTCATAGAGGAAGGATGAGAAATACACTTTGTAGCCGAACATTTGAATGTTCAAACCATGTTCAGAAAGTATGGTTGACCTGCACTGAAGTGCTTCTGGAAGCTTGTATATGAACAAAACTGAACTGTATTCTTCTGTAATTCTGCAGTGTAAAAGTGGGTTGCCTAAAATCGAGATTGATTGTGTTGCAGGTGATTGAAGCAAACTTGAGTGGAGAAATGAACTTGAAAATAGAAACTGACTTAGTATCTGTAACTACACATTTTAAAGACCTGGGAAATCCTCCCTGGGGTATGTTTCTCTGTTTGCTACCTCTTGTGTCTGTCTGATCTCATTACTTAAGTGTGTTGATTATAACAGTACTTACTTTTTATTCTTTAGAAAATAGCATCAAGTACTTTAAAGTCTTCAAATGAAATCTTAAAAGAAAACGTGGCCTATGGCTGTTTCATGTTTAGAGGGGTGGGAAATCTCTTCCAATATTGTTGACAGTTTTGTAGGAAAACTGGGCTTTCTTTTCCTTGCACTACTGTTTCTGAAAAACAAGCCAGTTTAGTTCCAATGCTTCAGCAGTTTTCAGTTGTGTCCCTGTATGTGTTGAAACTCCTTATTTAAGTGTTGTGTTCTTATGCTTTTAGCATCAGAAGAGGGGTGTCAAAGTTCTGCTCAAGGCAGAAATCTGGAAAGTATGGCTGAGGCATGCATAGACATCAAGAAGCTGCAGCAGCTGCTTGCTGGACAACAGGTCAATCCTACAAAAGCATTGTGCAGTAAGTTCAGCAGCTCTGTTTGCAAACTCCAAGGAGGGATGTTTGCTGTACTTGTAGTCTCAGCAGAACAGCATATCCTCTGTTTTGTCTGTTTAAAACTCAACTATTTTTATTGTACCCGATGACTTTTAATATTTATATTTTTAGGCAGTAAGCTTCAGACTTAAGGCATTTGGGGAAGAAAAAAAATAAAATAAGTCAAGCCCTTTTATCAAGATGAATAATCAGACTGACAAATCATGGGTGTCTTCTTGTCTTTGTTTTGAAGTAGTTATTTTAATGATTATTTTGAGGTATTATTTTTTGGAAGTCTTAAAGTCCTTAGGTTCTAGTGGATAAACTGGAATTTACTGTCATGTGTTTTTTTTTTTTTCCCCTTTGGATGCCTTCTTACATTGATTCTAATACCAAAATGCTTTTTATACAGCTAGTGTTTCTAGCCATAGAAACAGTATGTACTTTCTAGCAGAAGGCTATGCAGGGGTCTGTATTTTAATAACTCGGTATGCTTTTCCTGAGAACATCTGTGTATTATCGTTTAGTGCAGATGCTAAGAATTTCCCAAGGAAGATTTAAATAATGGCTATAGCATTATAAACCTATACCTATACCTATTACATATTTGCTTTTTGATATCAGCTTTCATAGACTATTAATGCTTCCTAAACCATCAAGGACCTGAATATGTCTAGTCATCCTTCTGTCAGAAGTGGTAAAAGCATTGTATTCTTATGGTGGCATTCTGTAGAAGATGTAAGTTTTTTTCCTGCTTTAGGATGGATTTGTTTTTTAATTTTTTTTCTCTTTTACAGATATTGTAAGTAAAAGAATTGTCCACTTCATCTTGCTGCATGAGGATGTTTCACTTCAGTATTTTATTCCAGCACTTGCCTGAATATTTTGGAATCTTGAGCATTTTCCAACCTGAGGCCTTTTCCATGAAGTCTGAAATCTTTCCTGAATTGCTGGAGTATTTTCACATGATACACTGTTAGAAGCAGCCATCAGATGGACATTATTTCAATATTTATGAAATTATTCATAATACCTCCTCATCCAGAAAGCCGTTTTGGAAAGACGTACCTCTGGGAAGCTGACATATTGCCGTCTTAACGGAAACAAAACTGAAATTTGAATGTGCTTTTGGGATGCTTTGAGCTATGGGGATGGCAATGAAGTATTTTGGTTTTGTCAAAAAACATAAAGGTAGAATGCATCTCTGGAGCTGCTGCTGTGTGTATTCAGTATTGGGCAATGCAGCTCCAAGTTAAGAGGTCTCTAAGCAAGCCATCATACTTCCATGGAGCAGGAGAGCCCTCTGGAGGGTTGCAGATTGGTATTTGCCTAAACAGGTACACACAGCCCTCCTGAAGTGGTACTAAATTGAATTCTGTTCCAGTAGCGATGTATGTGAACTTGATGCTGTTAAATGTTGTGCAGCAGAAATCTAACTGCCAGCAAGTAACAAGATATAACAGATGCTAAGGAGCACCAACAGTTCAGCAGCATCTCTTTTTACCTGGTTGTATCTTTTGATCTGACTTGCTCCAACATAACTCAGTAGCTCTGTGCTTACTCTTTGTTTAGCTCTTGGCCTGAGAGCATGAGCTAAACAGTCTGGATTACTTTGCTAATGTGGGCAGTGAAAATCTGTGTACAAAATGAAGGTCATATGAGGACATGCATGAACACGGCAATTGGTGTGAAATAAAGGGCAAGTTATCTGTGAATCACATTTTTTCCCCTTTTCAGATGGAAAGCATTGTACAACATGTGTTGTCATGGTGTCAGTCATGGTGAGATTGCATCTAGGCTCTCAGGCCAAGCAGCCAAGAGCAAGACTAAGTCTCGTTCTTGGGAGTACTGCCCCTTCTTCTACTTCCTGGTTATCTTGTGAGGTCTTTTCTTCCTTATTCCATGTGTGATTTATTTGTTATCTGGACACGTTCCATATAGCTTTTAGTTGTTTTAGAAATAGTGAGTGAGTTTTTGCTGCCAAATGTGACTGGGAGTTTCTGCTGGGAAGTAACTTGTCATGGTCAGAAGTGCTGGGGTTTTGGTTGTTTTTTTTTTTTCTTTTTTTTTTCAAAGGGCATTGAGGGTAAGGGAGCAATGAATCTTTTGTTCTTGCAGATGCAAAGGGTCAAGAGAAGGCTGAAAGAGAGGCAGTGGTCTGGAGATCTTACACTTCTTTACCTTCTTTCACTATTACCATCAGACTAACCAGGAAGCATCTTCCAAATCCTGTTAGTTTTCATGGGCAGCTTCAATTGCACCAAAAATCTGTGTAAGATGAAAGTAGGTGTACTCCAGCTTACAGGAATTACATGGTAAGAGGTATGTGGTAAATATTCCTGGGTTTTTTCCTGGGGAGAGGGAAAAAACTATCAGAATGCAATACAGAACATGCACTATGATGGTAGGCTTTGAAATGTTTGCATTTCTGTTTGAAAAATGTGTGTATAATATAACCTGATGGAAATTACTTTTTCTGGTATAGTATAAAAACTCGTAATAATGACCTCTGTGCAGGCTTTGCAATTGGTAGTTTTAAAAGAGATCAGAAGTTATAATCACAAGAAAATGGTTGCCTTTTTTTTTTTTTTTTTTTTTTTAAATAAATAAATAAATATGAGAGTAATGCTGGTACATGTCAAGAGTATGTAGTGACACGTCCATTTCATATTCTGGAGGGGAGGAGGCTAGACAGAGCAACAGGTGTAGTTTCTCCAGCCTCAGTACTTTCTTACCCTCCTCGTCTAAGTACAGCACATGGATACAGCTCAGACCTGCCATCCAGTTGACCATCCTGATCAGAGGGAAAAATACTACTTATTCAGGTTTAAACCAGCTGTCAACTGTGAACCGGTCGTCAGAGCCCTTAGGACAGTATTGGGCCTTAATGGCCCTAACCAGTCTCACCAGGGAGACTGCCCCCCATCCATGGGCCCACAGCTGGTGTTTCAACTCTGTGTCATCCTGTACTCCCCTAAACTATGCCTGGGCCCAGCCCTATGGGAGTTTGGATTTCCTGGATTGGCTTCAGATGGGAGTTGTTGCTCTCACCACTTGGTTCTGCCTGCCTGGTTTAGGTTCTATGAGCCTGTGCCCCAGTTTTATGGGTGCTGCCTAGCCTGCATTGTGGCCATCCTCTGCTTCTGGCTTCCTCAGTCCTGGGACAGCCTCACTTCCTGCTCCCTAACACCAATAAGGAGAAGAACTATTTGTCATTATCAGCCCTGGTTGGTTCCACATGGTGAACCAATTGTTTTATGCCAGAAGATTATTGTTGTTGCTTAAGCCACCAAGACAAAAAGGTTTGGAGCTGCTGATGGGACTAGAAAATAACTAAGACAATTCACCTTCTCTTCAACGCTTTGTTCTCTGAACACACATTTCTATTACAGGATGTAATCTGATTACCACCTTCAGCAGCTCTGGCTCAGGACTTCTGCACAGCTGCTGGAGCCTAGTTTAAGGTACCTGTGTACCAGGACTGTGTTTACCCTGGGCTGCATGATGTAGTTGCCACTTTCCCACTCGCTGGTTCAGCTGGAAGTGAAGCTGAGCTTTTGTCTCAGAGACACGTACAGACGTGCACACAGGACACTGACATGGCTACTTACAGGCTGCCACAGACAGCTGCGTCTTTAGCTGCATCTACCTACAGGACCTATGTTAAACAAGCCCAGGTGGCCACATCCCTTTCCTCCCCTTTGTCTAGCAAAGGCAGAAGGGCCGTAATGCAGGCACACACACAATGCTCTCTAGGTTCACAAGCACATGTTCATAGATTCCTCGAGTACTGGCACTGTGTGCCTAGCACCCTTGCACAGATCCTGGCTCTCTTACCTGCCATATTGGTCCCTTATTCACTGTCTTGTCCAGGTTGGTGCTCACTAGCAACGTTCACATTCTCGTTCCACAGGCATCCCATACTCTGAATATAATCACAGACCCTTCACCTGCCTAATACCCCAGCCTGCCCCAAGCCCTCATGCTCACTGGCTCATCGAGCTTTGAGTTTGGTAGCAAATGCTCACCCCAAGCACACCTAGTTTGGGGAACGCAGACATTTGACCTGCATCATCCAGCACAAGGTACATGGGCACAAGGTACATCACCTACAGTCCGGCTCTAGCCACAAGTACTAAGCTCCACACCTGCCTCAGTCATGGCAGTTCCATGCAGTACTTGGTGTTTGGGACACACACCAGTGGCTGGTGGCTGGGACCCCCACATTCGCTCCAGTAGCTGACACCACAGCCCTGAGGCACTTACACCTCCAGTCTGATTCTAGCAGCTGGCACCAATCTCACTCATGCTGATCCCATCTGTAGCTGGCACCTAATCCTTGCAGCACACAGACACACAGGAAGGAGAGCGAGGTAGGCTATCCAGAGATAAGGAAGAAAGGAGTTAATGAGAAGACAGAATAGATTTGCAGTGATGAGTGTGTTGACTGACTGCATTTATAGGGCTTTCTGCCTACTCTCCCTTTGTTCCTCTCAGCTCTCCCTTGCCCTGCACATTGCCTCATCAGTTGTCATATTTCCACCCACTCCCTCCAACATGCTGGCCCCTGAGGTTTGCATCTTTATAATTTGCAGCGTTCCATTTTGCCTGTGGTGTGAGTTGACCTTGATAAGCAGCTACTCAATCACTCACACCTGGTGGGATGGGGGAGAGAATCAGAAGGCTAAAAGTGAAAAAACTCTTGGGTTGAGATAAAGCAGTTTAATAGGTACAGCAAAAGCTGTATGTGCAAGTAAAGCAAAGTATAGAATTCATTCAGTACTTCCCATGAACAGGCAGGTGTTTAACCATTCCTAGGAAAGCAGGACTCCATCATATGTAACGCTTACTTGGGAAGACAGACTGCATAACTCCAAATTCCCTCTCTTTTCTTCTGCTTTTCTCTGAGGTGAACACAATGCTGTATGATATGGGATATCTCTTTGGTCAGTTGGGGTTAGTTGTCTTAGCTGTGTCCTCTACCAACTCCTTGTGCACCCTCAGCCTATTTGCTGGTGGGGCAGTGTGAGAGTAATGCCTTGACACTGTTAAGTGGTGCTCAGCAAAAACAAAAACATCCCTGTATTATCAAGAGTGTTTTGGTCACAAATCCAGAATATAACACCATATGAAGAAGACTAATTCTGTCCCAAACAAAGCCAATGTAGCCTGCCATTTCTTGGTAGCCCAAAAATTATTGTGAATAACCAGATGTTTTTGGCTCTATTTTTTTCTGGTTACTGTCTTTGTTAATGGTAATTAATCAGGGTTTATATTTGTGTGTTTGTCTCCTTCCTTTTCTTTTTATCATCCAATATAGGATGTGATAATCAAATAACCTTGGAATAAACATTGTGACACTCCCACATACTCTGCGTCTTATAATATTTCCATCAATTTTGTGTCCCTTGATGTTCTTTTTTACAGTTTCCTCCTCTTCTTTTTTTTTTTTCGCATGGTGTGGAAATTTACTTATAACCTTCTTTTGTTTTCCTTGCTTTCTTGTTACACACTACATTACTGATCCTTATTTTAATGCTGCTTTTGACAAAGCCCTTGCATAGAGTCTGATTTTTTTTAAGGCCACGGGAATTCAAAAGGAGTGAAATTATGATTAGAAAGAGAAAATAATAGAAGGTACTCTACATTCCTAAGAAAAACAAAACTGGGAACAAGCAATGGACCTCAGTTAACACTTGTGACAGTGTGAGATTTTTTTGTAGTCTTTCTTAAATGACAGTTCTCAAATGGGCACAGGGCAGTGACTAAATGTAAGACTGAAATTGTTTCAACTTTGTAAGCTATGGAAAAAATATTGTATCTAGAACAAGCATCATAAATGACCCAGTTCAAATAATTTAGACACAGACTGTGGTATGCTGAACTCAGCTGAGATTAGGTGGCTAAATAGCTTACGTGATCTGGACTTCAGCATCTCTATGTTCAGTGCTTCATATGTAAAACAATAATCTTCCTACTATACAGCTGGGTGCAATATGGGGCAAATAAATGCATGAAGAATTTCTGGTGCATTTGGCTTCTCTGATAGAAGCTTAAATCTAAATTCTGGCTTTCGTAGGTATTATGTGGGGTATTTCATAGGTATTTATGTCAGGGAAACAAACTTTGTTAGCCTATGTGGGCTGGTACCATAAATGTTTGGCTCTCCTTTCCCTAGAATGGGAGGATGTGTGTGTTCAACTCCTAGTTATTTAATAAGTAATCTCTCACTTTGTGATGTACTATTGATGATAATCTTAAGCACAATTTATTGCAGTTCACTAGAAGAATATTGGATTTCCCCACTTTTCATACCAGGTTGTTGGATTTTCCTTGTCCTTAACAGATTTAAAGACTGTATTTTATGAACTTGTATGGTTTACTGTCACGCCATTTTAACTATGGAAGATGTCAAATTGGAGCTGATTGCCTTCTACAATGGCTGGCTGGATAGATGAGGGGAGAGCAGTGGATGTCATCTACCTGGACTTCAGCAAGGCTTTTGACACTGTTGCCCATGATATCGTGATAGGCAAACTCAGGAAATGCGGGCTGGATGGTTAGGTGAGTTTAGAACAGGTTGCATGGCAGGTCTCAGAGGGTTGTGATCATTGGCACAGGGTCTAGTTGGAGGCCTGTCACTAGTGATATCCTCCAGGGAGAAGTACTGGATCCAGGAGTGGCTGATACCCCAGAGTTCTGTACTGCCATTTTC